GGACAACTCTAAATCATTCTAGATAGTTCTAAAATGGTTCTCGATAATTCTGATATGTTCTGAAGCCATCTAAATATATAATCCTGGACAGTTCTCAGTTGTTATAGACAGTTCTAATTTGTCAAGAACCGTGCTAAATCATTCAGAACAGTTCTAAATCATTCTATACAGTTTTAAATGGCTATAGACAATTCTAATTCGTTCTTATGATATTGATGATGTAATGATATATTGAGCTACACATATTTGAGATTGTACTTTTTTCACACTAACCATCACTGTTATTTTTATTAATAATAATATTTGTTCAATTTATATAGGAATGACCATATTGCGTTGAAATTTGCCTGCACCTGTATAGTATTCAAATAGAGTAATGAAAATAATAAAAAGATCATTAATAAGAATTGTGAGAGATATTTGGTAACCATATCATATTAGTCCATTATTTGTTTTAGAAAAATTGGTCCTAACAATCCTGTGGTATCTATAACTGTTCCAAAAAGAGCAAAATATTTAGAATCCTATTGATTGTATAATCGCATCAAGTGCGACGTATGCCGAAGGAATCGTTTTGATAAATTTCACTTGCGTGAAACTTTTGAAACCGGCTGGTCTTTCTCGCCCACGCAACGCGCCGGGCCATTTGTACACGCTACATAAAACCCATGTTTATAGGACGCGTCCTCCTAGTCTTCTGATACAATCGAACCCTAATTATCAGCCGCAGTATCGCGGGAATTTTTTGGAGAAATCCTCCGCTCGAAATGTCGCCTTTTACATTTTACCTGGCCTCTTGCTATCGCGATTCCATCTGAGCGATCTGATTGCCGATCGGGCTATGAGGGCCTAAAGGGTGTTGAAAAATATTTTAACAGATGCTCGGATGCGAAGGTGTAGACAAATCCATTAGTTACTTCTTTTGTGCGTCTTGGGTATTTCTGTAGCTATTCCAAATCTTGTAGACAAAAAGATATGGAGAAGTGTGTGTTAGGCGGTTTTATAAAAAATATATATACTTTCTCACAGTGATTAATTTAATATCAAAAATTGTGCGAAAAATCATTATTAAATGCTTTAAAGATAATTGGCAAGATATGAAATGCTCTAAAATTGTTTTGATATATTAAATTTAAGGAAACTTTAATTATCAAAAATTTCGAAATCATAGAAAAGTTATTTAAAAAATCATCTCAAATCTTGAAAAATCAACACAAAACATCATTAAAAAACCTATAGAAAGCATGACAAAAGTGTATTATAAAATACTAAAAAATTCAAACTTCAAGAAGCTTTAAAAATTCTTCAGAACAGAACGTTTTTCCAAAAAACTTTTGTTTATATTTCTGAGTACTCAAGCAGGTCCATTTTTTAAGACTTAAACACATTTGTATAGGTAAAGCTTTGCTTGCTAAGGCTTTTCATTTGATCAAGAGTTGCTACAAACATATCCTGTATAGGGGACAATTTATAGTTTCTACATAAAATTTGTGCACACAGCGACATTGTTTAAAGAGCCTTCGAAATAAAATTATTAATGTTGCTCAAATACATACATATGTATGTGTATGGGAAAATGTGGAATAATGATCCTAAGGTTCGAAGAACGGCCGTAAAAAATTAGTCGTCGGTTAAAATAAGACCATCCGTTCGGTTTTTTACAACGGTCTTATTGAAAAACGAGTTATGTCACGTTTCCCTCTGTTTCATCGTAAAACTATTGTTTGATTGCTCGTTATTAAATCGACGATTATTGTTATGTCTAATATTTATTTAAATTGTATTTTTTCGGACCAACTTTTAACTACTGTGTACTCGTTGAGGTTCTTTATCGTGATGTAAATACGCTCAAAAACGGTGAGCAAATATAAAGCTAACGTAAAAATCGCACCGAAAAATCTTTATTTAAAGAATATGAACTAATACATGACGTTATATTAACGTTGCTTTATATTAATGACGTTAGAAAAGAATTAAGCACCGATTTCATAATAAAGCGTTAAAGCAAATCTTTTAACAAAAGGAAGCTTTATGATAAAATGTCCTTTAATCTTATTCTTTCAAAAAATGGTTTCATAATACACTTGTAAAATGTTGCTTTAAAGATATTTTAAAGCGTTATTGCATGGCTAACCTGAAAATTGCTAAAATTGAACAAATTTGGTTATACACCTTGCTCCATTTCCGATTACAACATGGTCATTTCTATGAGTGAAACAAGGAAAGATTATTAAAATGACAGTTGTCAGAGTGAAAAGTTGCAATGACAGAAATTGCACTCTTTCCTTTTCCTTTTCCTTTATAAGTGTCTAATGTAAGTTGTCTTTATCGCACCCATGGCCTATATAACCTATATTGCGATCAAAAATGGAGCAATCTGTATGTACCTTTCAAAAAATGGACATGTGTACATACAAGGTGGCCTAGAACTCACGTCCCGTACCGGGAAATGTCTTATGCAAACGACAATTGAGGTGACAAAATTACAGCCAAAACATGAAAAAGTTATTCCTTTTGTATAAATAAAGAGGTTTAAAATTGACCAATCCCAGTAGCAGTTCACATGCGCGAAAATGACGTGAAATAGCTATACACCAATTCGACATTATTGAAAGATTCTATGTCCTTTTCACTATCAAGGTTAACAAAAGCTGCCAAAATCAAAAGCGATTATTGATCAAAGATTTGCTTTCAAATCGATTATTCAGGAGGTCCGTCGTGTTTATGCCAAACCTACAGAATTTTTTATTCCTTCAAAAGTGGTTCGAATCGAATGATCCATTTTTTATCAATCTGGAAACAAATCTTTAATGAGGATTTGCCGCTGATTTTGGCAGCTTTTATTAACCTTGAATGTGGAAAGGACAGTCTTTAAATAATGTCAAATTGGTGTATAGCTATAATTCATGTCATTTTCTTGTATGTGAACTGCCACTTTGGGATTGGTAGTTTTTAAACCTCTTTATTTAACCAAAGGAAAAACATTTTCATATTTTCCGCTTCAGTTTTGGCATCTCCATTGTCCATTCCATAAGGCCTTTCTTGGTGGGGCGTGAGTTCTGTGCCACCTTTCTTTGCTTCATGAAATTTAAAAAAAAGCACATTAGGTATATGTATATTGTAAGACTACAAATAAATGTATAAAGTAGTTCAGAAAATATGATTTGTTTTTCTATTTCATGCAAGAGATGGAATATTGTTTTTCTTTTTCAGAAGAAGACGGTAAAAATCTAGCTCGTTTTATTTTTGAAAACAGTCCTTTCTTTTCTTATAATTTCTTTTTAATTTTTTCTAATAAATTTTACTTCATCAGACTATATAGCAGAAGTTATCAACTTCAACCCATATCCTACATAAAAATTAAGATTGTAGTTAAAACATACTTTAGCCAGTTGTACGGCCGCTTTCATAATAAAAGGATACTTTAGCACGTTATAATGTCCAAAAATTGGCACTTTAACTTTAAATGTCACTTTAGGCTCTAATAAACCTTTAAGTTGATTATAAAATCAATTATATCTATTAAAGGATTCTTTATATAAAGTTAGATTTTTGATGTCTTGGTGTCTTTTTATGAAATCGCGGCCGCATATGTGACCGGTTAAATTATAAGTTCTACTATCTACAATATAAATCACATATTTCTATATTTATATAATTTTTAAAGTGTGCATAATTTAATCACCTCCCTATTTTTTTAAGAAACACCCTGTTTGTACATTATCAAACTTAACCAAACAATTTCCGCAGTCCTTTTTAATTTAATGAGCTTTATTATAGGCAGTGCTGAACACTGATGGAGAGCAAGCAAAAGTTATTAATCTTCCAGTCAATGATTTTATTAACACATTAACATCTTATAATAACGAGGTATTTCACAAAGTGGAATGGAAAAATCCGTCCCATTATTTTTTGCACCGCTCAAAGACGGTGCAACTCAAGCTTTACCATACGAAACAAAGTACACCATTTTTACTGTTTAATAAAAATACATAGTGTACATAATCGAGGAATTTTATCGACATTTTATTTTTAATTTATGAAGTTTCATTATACGTATTATGAAAATGAGTTGCTCTAAAATAGCATCGAACACCTTGCTTTTATGCTCTTTAATACGGGTAATTTATCATCGGTACTTTATACATATAATACACATAGCGTTCATGGTTTACTTGCTCGCCCCGGGTTCCCAATTAAATAAAGGCTATTAAGAATACAATATGGCTTTTTTTGCTTTGATTAGAGCCCTAATCGCTGCATAATCTACGCTATCTTGTTATGCTAAATTCCAATTTACAATTTTACTGCCTTATAATGCCTCAAATATTTTTTTTTAATATTCCTTAATAACACGTATAATTTCCGCGTTATTTACTACCCGTTTCCTACTGGGAGTACAAGGTTTCTAAAGTTTATAAAAATTTGCGAATAATTATTTCAAATAAAAAAAGTTTTTGGTGATCAATATTTTTCAATTCAAACAGGAAATAAAATATTCTTTGCATAATGTTTGCATTTATGATATAACTTTATCCAAACTTTTATCCAACAAAATATTATAAAGCGAATTTGCAAATGACTAAATAGGTACATTTTTTCTATACATATATTTATTTTGTCATTATTTTTCTATCAGCGAATTCTGTTTTGTCACTACATATACCTACAATATAATTTTCAGATTATTGCAGAGATATTATGCAATCAATTATTATTATTGGATTCTGCAATACCCATAGCCCACGACTTAATCACATTTATCTGTTATGCGTTGCAATAAAGAAAACTTATCGTAATTATTTAATGAGTTTAAATATCATAAAATTCGTATTTATCGTACACGCAAAACACTTTAATTTTTATGTATCAAAATTTACAGTCATCAATTATCTCGCGTATATAATTCAGCCCGATATTCCTATCTGTTGTTCGTTCACATTATAATAGAATTTTTCATGATGTTTCCAAACGATTTTCTTTAATCGAAATTGCCTACTCGCGCATGTTTGTCGCATTTTGTGTTGATGCTACAAAGAAGAGTACCTATATAGGAAAATATTTCATTACTGAATAATGTTAGAAATTTCTTTTGCAGGATCCTGCCGTGTACCAGCCGGGGGGGCTATGAGCGCATTCCGAAGGCGTTAAACATGTAAATTGGCGAATTTTCTCTGGAGAGTGCGTAGGGAAGGAAGGAAAATGCTGTCAACGGGAATTGGATACGGGGGTGGACAAAATACGGTTTCCGTGACAAATACCACGCCTTCGTACAGCCCTCCTCCAACGGGGAGACACAGCCCTCTCCCCAGCTTCGGCTTCACTCAGGAGCAGGTCGCCTGCGTCTGCGAGGTGAGCTCAAAAACGTTCAAGTTTCCAAACCCCTAACTCAATTCCTATCGATCCACTACGTTTCTATAACAATCAATTACTCCGAACTATTGACTCTACGAGAGTCTATTAGCTGAAGTGGACGCATTTAACGATTTTCTTGAAGGTGCAGAACGACTGATGTTGATTTTTTTTGTAAAGGAGGGTTATTGAGTTTATTATGAGAAAACTTGTTTTTTTGAAGCTTAATTTTGAATGAACTAGAGCAACTAATTAGTATAACAAAACAACTAATTATACTCCTCCATGCATAATAATAGAAATAATGAATTGAATTTTTCTTGAATTTTGCTATTAGTTTACCTACTCTACCACACAATTTTCTAGTTTTTCTTTCTTCACACTTCCTTCCGTTGGGGAACGAATATTTTGACCCGCTTCCACAGTATTGTTTTTCAGCAGCTCTACAGTATTTGGTCTGTTAGCATAAACCTTATCATTCATAAATCTTTTTAAAGAATTCCTAAACTTACAAAAAAGTGATGGAAAAATATGTATTCAAAAGGATTTGTGCATCTTCTATAGGAGTAGACAATTGTCTGATATTATTTTTCTACACAATTAAATAATAATAGATTAAGTTGAAAGAAATGGATGAATTATATTTCATTACATACATATTCAAGACACAAACCAGTCAGTTATATTGGCCCCCCTTTATGTATATGCCATATAGCAGATAAAATCATATTTTCTGTCGAAATTTAAGATCAGAGCAGCGACTTCTCATCAACGGACACGGTTATTAAATTCCTGCACTATAAAATATACATTTAGTACATACACTATCGTTTTCTGCAAATGCTGCCACTTCAAAAGCAGTACGTTATAAATTACCGAGCGACTTGTTTGATATCTGTAATGACTTCCTCACAATAATTTTAAACATTACAGTTTCTGATTTAATGAGATAATTAACGGTGCTATGTAATACAATTGAAATATCTACACCTATAAAGTGATTCATTACTAACAGGAACAGAAAACTATTTTATCGAAGGTATGTGATTGTATGACTCAAATGAAGATTAGATACTTGTTAATAATATTATTATTATTATTAATAAATTCGGTGCTGAACGAATGTGGCCCTAATGAAGGAATCTTTTTATGATTGAAGAAGATGGCGAGAAGGAAAATTTTATGTTGTTATGTATAAAAGGAAAAAGTCATGCAGGATATTTAGTTATAATTTGTGTAATGTGAATGGATATTTTTATGAATTTAGATGTTTTTTATGTTGAATTCATGTTAATGAGAATCTGTTTTCTTCTCCTGCTTTCCTATAAAAGTTTTTCTGTTTTTATAATTTCAAAGTTGGAGCATTTATTTGAGTTCTTTTTTGATGGAAACATTTGGCATTTCTAATTTTCAATCATTTTTAATAGGTTTTTTTTACAACATTAATCACTTATATGTTTTTTCCATATTCATTAGTTAATTTAGATGAAACGATTTTTAAATAGGTACCTCAAATAAATATTTTTTCCTTTATTAATAATTTTCAAAGGTTTATTAATAGTTTTCAATAGTAGTGCGTTAGTTTATTCACCAACAGTTAAACAAAAATCATAGAAAATTTAAAAATCAAAGCAAATTGTATCCCTCTAATCAGTTAGACAAATGCACGAAAAACGTTAAAATGTTCAACAGGATAGAATCACCGCGGTGCCTCGAATCTTCCAACTTCTCCATACCTTTGAACAGAACCAGAAACGAGAATCTATTAAATAAATGATAAATTACTTCTGTAAGGTGCACGTGTCGTGTGTGGGCTCTACTTTCGTTAATGCTGATCTCGTATTTCTTCGAAATTATCAGTGGCTTTCGAAAAGCTCGAGTTAATGCGATTTATGGTCAAGTTGCCAAAACAACAGAAGTAAATATGTACCACATTCCGACATATAATCGTCTTTAACTTCAAAACGATTTTACGCGGAATATTTTTATATACCACACCAATTTTCCTGCTGGTATTGATATATCCGGCGATCTCTAGAGAGCGAGGATGTTGTTTTGAAGCAGCAATTCGAGCAGCATCGTTTTGAGTTTCACGTTAAAAATAGATTCGGGGAATTGTTCATTTTATTTTAACTCGAACACTAGCTATATTCTACGATTCGTTTTTAAATTCGAAACGGGACCAGAATAACGCTAAATCAATGATGAAATTATAGTTTTTTTTAAGTAACATCAATTCCTTCGACATGGTTCGTTTCAAGCTTTACTCTAGGACGTTATAAATAAAAAATAAAACCGGAAAAATACGAATGAAATAGGTAAAAGAGATCGATACCAATTCCTTCATCAATTTCATCTAGTATTACTATCATAATCACTATCAAAGAATCTTCAATTCCTTCACTTTATTAACATTCGTACTTGATTTCCGTGTGGGAATATTGATGAGAATTAATACTATTATAAAATAGGTAATATTTGAGTGATAATTTAAAGGAAAAATATTTACAAAGAAATCTGTAACGAAACGTTTCGTTGGGGGTCCAGCTCTCATCCCATCATATACATACTTATGTACCACCTGGCGTTGGTTGGTACGTCAGTCGAGAAAAATGTTTTGTCTTTGAACGTAATACTATAATCAATAAATCAAATACCAATGAGTATGCACCGTAGTATTTCGTGTAAACATTAAACAGCGACCGTTTATTGGAGTCATTATCACGTATGCCCGCCTTATTATCTTGTTTTAAATTCTCGACCGGGCTTCTTGGAATTCTAAATTAGAGAGGTTTCATTTCTTTTCTTCCCTTTCTCTGTGTTTATTTTATTTAATATATGTTTTTTACGATATGTATCTAGTATTGTAGGCCAGTCGTGTGCATTGTTGATTAACAATGAGCTTATTTGAGACCCATTCACAAAAAGGGCCGGTGCTCAGAATTTGTTGAATCCTGCTCTAAGGATGATTTATAATTTTTTCCCCAAATTTTTACATTACAATAAAATATTGCGAAAACAAAAATATCATAGTTATGGTGAGTTTAATACACTTATACAGTGTGTTTCATTTAACATAACGAAGTTGATGGGTGCTTCCTGTACAAACGGAAATGGTGGAAAAGTAAAAATATTTTTGCTCAGTTAAGCATCCTGAATAAATACCTCAAGCGGTTCTCCGCGTGTAAATGGGTAAAGTTACAAAAATATGACCTTGTATAGGTAACAAACAAGGTTTCATATTCACATATACAAATATAGTTTACAGGGTGTCACATTCTGGAAACTTTGTGATTTTCGTATATTTTTTAAGCAATTTACGACCATCCTACATAATCACAAAGTTCTAAAATTATTTCAAACAATATTCATATAAAACTGTCCAAATTTTCTCTTGCAGGTCTTGCAGCAAGCAGGAAACGTCGAACGATTAGGACGATTTTTATGGTCGTTGCCATCATGTGATAAATTACATAATAACGAATCAGTTTTAAAAGCAAAGGCAATAGTAGCATTTCATAGGGGTAATTTTAAGGAATTGTATAAGATATTGGAAAGTCACACGTTTAGTCCACATAACCATGCGAAGCTGCAAGCGTTGTGGTTGAAAGCCCATTACATAGAAGCTGAAAGGTTACGGGGTAAGTTATTATACTCGTGCATGTTTTATATACAGGGTGGCCCAGAACTCACGCCCCACCGGGAAATGCTTTATGGAAACGACAATGAAGATGCCAAAACTGCAACCGAAAACATGAAAAAGTTATTCCTTTGGTAAATAAAGAGGTTTAAAATCGACCAATCCCATCAGTAGCAGTTCACATACGGGAAAATGAGTAGGAATTCAAATCCACGAAAATTATATGAATTAGCTATACATCACTTTCAAGGTTAACAAAAGCTGCCAAAATCAGCTGTAACTATTGATTAAAGATTTGTTTTAAAATCGATCAAAAATGGATCATTCGATTCGAATCACTTTTAAAGCAATAAAAAATTCAGTAGGTTTGGTATCAGCCAGACGTAGTTTCGAATTGATTGATTTGGAAGCAAATCTTTGATCAATAGTCGCAGCTGATTTTGGCAGCTTCCGTTAACCTTGAAAGTGAAAAGGACATAGAATCTTTCAATAATGTCGAATTGGTGTATAGCTATATACATTTTCGCGTATGTGAACTGCCAATGGGATTGGTCAATTTTAAACCTCTTTATTTACCAAATGAATAACTTATTCATGTTTTTTGCTGCAGTTTTGGCATCTCCATTGTCGTTTCCATAAGGCATTTACCGGTGGGCCGTGAGTTCTGGGCCACCCTGTATATGATTTAGGTGTATTAAAAACCCATTGACTTGAAGTAAATAATCGACTCTTTTATGTAAATTTATAAATGAGTCTCCCGGTTAGATGTTTGTTGGATAGATAAAATACATTCTTGTGTAGTTTTGTTGGTTCTTTTCATATAAATTGCTAACTTAAATGAGCTAAATGACAGTTATTTGGATGATCTAGATGAGTATATTTTTATCTTAGGCGAAGTTGCTATCTCGAATGAAAATAACTTACCTACTTTTAAAATTGTTTTATAAGAGGGTTATAACTTCCTCGGTAAATGCTGGAACATTTAATCGACTCTTCCAGATAGTTTCATTACTTTTGCTAGATAAGTAAATGATAGAACACGGTGGAAGAATGACTCCTTTTTTTGGTGTTCTCAGGACGACCGTTAGGAGCCGTAGGAAAATACCGCGTCAGGCGAAAATTCCCCTTGCCCAGGACGATATGGGACGGCGAGGAGACTAGTTATTGTTTCAAAGAAAAATCTAGGAGCGTTTTAAGAGACTGGTATTCCCACAATCCGTATCCGAGTCCTAGAGAAAAGCGAGAATTAGCGGAGGCGACGGGTTTGACGACCACGCAAGTTTCGAATTGGTTCAAAAACCGAAGACAACGAGACAGGGCCGCCGAACACAAAGACAGGTGAGAATAAAATAAGTTACTTTAAAAAATAATTCATTTTAAAATATTAAAAAAACTCACAACAATAATTATACCACCCTCCTAAACTTTTAGATTTGTAATTCTTTAGGAACTACTAATAGTTCTAATGAGGGGCTACCGTGAAATATACTGTATAGGTACTTCAATAATTAAAAAACTAGTGTACTAGTGTATGTAGTGATCAAAAAAAGGTACAACATTGTTGGAACCTCCAACAACAAAAATATTTTTATTAAAAAAAAATGAAAATTTTTGAGAGAATATAGTGCAAGCGGCGCGTTAAAATAATCTGGAGCTATTCGGTTTCAAGAAGCGGACGCGACCGTGTTAAAATTAACTTGTGACTCACCTAAACCGACACCCGATACCTCGAAAGGCAATACATCTGTTTTGCGTTCCTATATATTCACGCAACCTTAAAAATGGTTCGAATATAAGCGAGAAACCGCATTGTTCACTCTGTGTGATCAAGGGAATTTAAACGCACTCGACGTTACATAGATGCATTAGGTTTCATATTCACGCTTTCATATTTAACCAAATGAATATCTAAATGCGGCAAGAAAAGGCGAACGTATGTCCGAAAAACTTCTTATCTGAATATTTGTTTGCGTCAACGTACCTCTACCTCCAAAATAGAAGTATCAGAAAATGTGGTAGTAGAAATTGGCAAGTTTCCAAATATCTCTCAAGAAAACTAAATGGACAGTAACCTTGCTTATTAGTGCAATGTTATAACAAAATAGGAATTAATTCGAACACCTTTATGCAAAAATAGAAGGTTATACACGTCAAGATTAGACCACAAGACTATACTTTCCTGTACCTAGATTGTGGAAAGTTATACTGAAATAGTAGATATTGCTCAATCAAACTTTAAAGTTAAAACTGTTGGAAACAAACAGCAATATACAGATTGCTCCATTTTTCATTGCAACATAGGCTATAGGTGTAACAAAGACAACTTCAATTAGACATTTATTTATCTTTCTTGTTTCAACTCATAGAAATGCCCATGTTGCAATCGCGAATGAAGCACGGTGTATAATCAATAAAATGCCAGAAAATTATCTTTCAATAAATACTGCTCTTCAGTAGCACTGCAAGTACCCAAGGAATAAGATCAAAACTTATTTATTGTTAGATAGAAACTTGTCATAATGAATCTAAAAGTTACTTTTTATTTTTAATACAGAATTCCCGTTAGGGTCTCATTAAATCGCGAGTGGTCGATTAATAAATTGCACAGAGAATAAACTATCGAGTAGAAATAATTCGGCGATGTTAAAATCGATTTTAATTGAGCTAATCAAAAGTGAGATGCAGGCATCCGTATCGGCCGAGCCGATTCACCAGCTGTCTGATCGAATTACAGCGCGGAAGCCGTAGAATCATCCGATATCCCGCGTATACTATCTATAGAGTAATATACGATGAGGGGATGTTTTACTTTTGGTTCATTGTTTTTGTTAAATTGTGCAACGAGGTAGAAACCAAATGAAGGAGAATTGAAAGGTGTCCGGTTACATGTTTGGTATCGGTAACGCGAATAAAATACACTGAAAATGGAATTAACAAGTTTTATCGGAATTGGAAACGCCGGTGTAATGATTGCAATTATAACGCGTGTAATTATTTCCTTTGTGTTTAGATTTAACAATGTTGCTGTTTGGGTATTCGAATTTGCAACTATACCATTTATTAATATTGGGTTTATTATGTTTTTTTTTCGAATTAATTAAGGTATACAGGGAGTTTTTTAATAACATGCTAATACTGAAGGGAATTGATTGTATGTTTTCAGGTCAAAAAATGCTCTTTAATGCATAAACGCCGTATACCAAATTTCATAAAAATTTTCAAAGTAAAAAATTGATGTTTTTCTTAAAACTTTAACACCCTTTATTTCAAAAAGTTAAGACGTTTTTAGGATATAGGTTCATATAAAGTTTTTTTTAAATTGGCCCAAGAATCATTCCGTTCAATATTAGCATGTTATTAAAAAACAACCTCTGTATATATTTGGACAATTTTCAATAGGAGTTTTACTTTTGTTTTGTAATTTTTTTAAGGTTTTTCAAGATTTTGAGTCTTTTTTTTATGTTTTATAATAGGTTATAATAGGTTTTATAATTTGTGTGGTTTTGGATTGTTTTTATGTGATTAGTTTCTGAAAATATTTTTAGAAGAAGATTATTACTTCACATTCGGAAAAAGTCAAAAACTTTCAAAAATCTCTTACCAACATTTTATTAAAAAATCCATCTGATTTGTCATCAACCTGGACATTACATTTTTTTTTAAATCTGGCGATATTCAATTCGTAGGGTATACCATAAAACTAATAAAACTAATAAAACAAAAATAACAAAAATACCAAAAACCTATACGAATCCCTTTATTATTTATTAACCATTTTCCCATTATTAGAAATAACATCTGCCAAATTGTCTTTCATCTGTATAAAGCTTTAATCTCTATAGATAACGAACCTATCTCGAGTTACCATCATTCCGTACCGATTTGAAACAAACGCCAGTACGCCAGTACCTACCAGCCCCCGGGCCTAATGTATTCCAAAAAGACAAATCGGCGCCCTTTAAAAAGGGCAGTTTTTAGTAAAAGAACAACGAACTAATGGCTGAGTAAACAATTATCAGGGCCTTTTCGGGTTTTGCTTTTTAATTCGCCGCCCGCCGTCCTCCGGCGGGGGGCCCGTTGACGTGACAAGTGTTGCACATGTGTTTGCCAAGCAATCCAAAAGCAAACGCAAACGCCTTCCCTTGCAAGAATTCTGCAACATCTTGAAATAAACGGGCGCCCGTTCCGAGAATAATAACGCTCTCGAATCATGAATTTGCTGCTATTTAGTTTCAGCTTTTTGATAATAAAAGAACTACTTTGTTTTTTAACAGTTCCCATCCCAAATGAAACTAATTGTTTGTATAGAAATGCTATACGCGCGTGAAGGAATGTTTAAAAAAAGTTAACTTGCACAAAAAAAAACAAAATTTGGAACTTTACCATTTGGAAACGGTACACAGTGGCAAAAAAGTACCCGGAAAATTTGAATAAAACACAAAATTATTAATCTTCTTGAATATTCCTTTAAAATATGCTTCTTCAAAATATGCATCTCCTTCAAAATATCCTTCTTTTGAAGTGAAAAGCCTTTTCCAATCGACAAAACATTTTTTATGGGCCGTTTTTGGTCATGTCATAAAAAAGTACCCGGAAATTTTGATTTAAATTACCTGCATTTAATATTTTAACTATTTCAAGTTTCTGTATGTAGGTAACATTGTTCTTAATTGGCGTGGAAAAAATTAGAAATTTCTCAATCAGTTTGGTTGTAGCAGCTGATTAAATCAGTTCATCTCAACAGTGGTCTGATGCGAATTTTGCAATGGACAAAAATAATGAACAAAGAGTTTTGTTACCATATTTTGGATTTGAACGGAATTTCGTGGGGCGAATCGATGCAAATGCTTAAGGAAACTCTGATTTATTGAAACCCATATTTACTAATGATACAAAACATTTAAAGACAGTCGGAAGATCGCTAAAGACTTGTCTTGTTCCGGACGGTCTTAGACCACTTCAGCCAATGATAAAGGCGAGAAAATGAAGGAAATTGAGTTATTAGAGAAGTAGCACTTGTCTTTAAATCTCCTGTTAAACCGCTTGCTTGACTTTAACCAGATATAACCTATATATTTTTTTGTTTCCCAAACTCAAATTGCCACGGGGATCCCGTTTTGACTCCATAAATACTAAAGAAAATTCACAGAAGTAGCTAAAAGCCGTACCAAAAAGGACCTCTAAAAAGTTTCGGTGATTGGAAAAGGCGACTATGTGAATCGCTTCAAAAGAAGCCTATTTCGAAGAACACAAGATATATTTATAAAAATAAGGAATTTTGCGTTTTATTCCAAATTTTTAAAAGCAGTGTAATTAAGCAGAGCGTATTATTTTGAAGATTTAAGAAAAAATAGAGAAGATTATGAATTTTCCGCGGTTTTATTGTAAACTTTTATTTTCCCTTACTTTTAGAAGGGATTATACCCCCGAATAGAAGGAATATGTACTTCAATTAAATTTAGGCCATTTTTTCGGGATTATGGTTAAACTTCTACAATTGTGAGACATTCAAGATCCAAAAAAATACACAAAAACACGCAATTTTTTTAAACAAATTGAATTGACTTTGGAGAAACTATACAAAGTTTTTTAGAGGGAATTAATATTTTTATCGTTCGTCCAACATATTCCACTTTTTCGCATTATGAACGTCAGAATGAGTTCGACGATGGGCGATTGTATAGTAGACCTGAGGCTTGAGGCATCGACCCGACATAACAAGGGAGGACGTTAAACAGGCTCCGTTGTTTTGATGAAACTCGATATGAACGTTTCGACGTGCCTAATGTTTTTCCCTCGTTTCCTCGGCGCTCGCCGCATTATGAAGCCCTTAAAAATGACCTGTTAGCGACGTTAAAAAAAGTGCTGCCACGAATGGGAGTTATTTGCAGAGAAGGGAGGGAATAATTTACGATGATATAGGTATAGAAATTTGCACCAAGTCTATTTTGCCTAGTGATTTTTGAAAAATTATTCACCGAAATTTAGAACAAACAACGCTGAAAAACCACGGTGGTATATTTCTAAGGTCTGGAAACTGGGGTTTCTTTATTTGAAGAGAAAGTGCATCGTTCCTAAGACGATCGATAGGTGGCGATGTTGTATTTTTTAAATTCAACATTTAGGTTGCTCGAGATGCAGCCATAACTTAGATAATCTAATAATCGTTTACAAAGCTTATTTCTAAATTATTTTACTTGTCTACAAATGCTATAAATTCATATAAGTTTGAACGTTGACACATCCACTAATACAAAATACGCCAAGTTTCCAGACCTTAGAAATATACTACCGTGCTAATTACTATGTAAAAAATAGGTGAGTGTTGAACAGTATTTATTGGGATTCCTTATAAGAATCACTATAATATCCTTGATAAAAGCTAAAAGCGTTACATCATAAGAAAGAGTATAAAACTATGGAAAAATCAAACCACTGATTTAATTTCCATTTTTTTATGATACAGAATGTGAAAGTTTAATCAAATTGTGAACTAATCAATAATTTGTACACACAAAAATAAAAACAAATAATTTTACAACGTATATTTAGAAAGTTTTTTTCCATCGCCTTAATGTACTATATGAAACAAAATATGACCAGTACCAGTACACCTCCTTTCTCCCACATAATTCGACGGCGATAATAATAATAAGATCGCGTTAGCGGCTCCCCCGACGAAAATTCCAAACAAATCTATTAAGAATTCCCGATGCGGCCGTAAACCCATTGATAATCGCATAATTGAGTTTTAGACACATGACACTATAAATAGAAACAACAAGGACCGCAAACGTTAAAAGTTCCGAGTCCATGAGGGTACATCTAAAAGAGGAGGATGCGAGAATACTTTTAATATCGAATTTCATCTGGGATTCTCTTTCTTAGTCGAGTAACTTGATATCCCTACATGAACGGCTAAAGGAATACTGCAGAAACGTTATATTAAACGTTGCTGGTTGGTTGGTTGCTTGGTGATGGGTTTTTTATTGTTAGGATTTTTTATTAGAGTTGTTTTTTAAGTGAAAATTAACAATAGTTTCAAAACTTTCATCCCCACATCAACACATTTATACGCAGTGACAAAAAAGTACCTGGAAAATTGGAATAAAACGCAAAATTCCTAATCTTTTTTAATTTTTCTTGAATCTCCTTCAAAATATGCTCCTTTTGAAGCGATACACATAATCAGACATCTTTTCCAATCGTCGAAACATTTTTATAGGCCTTTTTGGTAGGTACGGCTTTTAGTTCCCTCTGCGAATTTTCCTTGATGGCATTTATGGAGTCAAAACGGGATTCCCAGAGTGGCAATTTGAGTTTCGGAAACAAAAAAATATCTGGAGAGTAAGGCGGCTGGTCGAAGGTACTTCATACGAACCAGCATACCTGCATCGACCAGTTGACGATATCGTTTTTGAAGAAAGTCATCAGCTCTATCGGAACGAGCCAAGCCTCAATTCGCAGCATGTCTGATTGGTTGAGCAAAATCAAATGAGCGGTTTAACGTGAGTTGTTGAAGTCAAGTGCTACTTCTCTAATACTAGCATAATGATTTTCTAACTCAATTTCCTTCAGTTTCTCGCCTTCATCATTGGTTGAAGTGGTCTAAGACCGTCCGAAACAAGGCAAGTCTTTAGCGATCTCCCGACTGTCTTTAAAAGTTTTGTACCATTCGTAAATATGGGTTTTCAATAAAACATCGATTCGACCTACGAAATTCCGTCCAAAACCCAAAATATGAGACACTCTTTGTTCATTATTTTTGTCCATTTTTGTACATACAGAAACTGTAATAGTTAAAAATATTAAGTGCAGGTAATATAAATAAGAAAATCCGGGTACTTTTTACAAATTACCTATATTTCATGATGTATGATGTTTATTGGATCGGTCCAATTGATTGTGTTAGAAACTCAACTTCAGTTCTTAATAATCCTGATTAGAGTTCCGAGTTCCAATTTAACTTATGTAATTAGCCTAACACCTAAACACTTAACTTCGCGATGGAAGAGTTCCGAGTAGTTTTTTCTTTGGTTTTAGCTCTACCGGTACAACCGGAAGTTCTACTGTCAAAATGTTTTTAAAAGGTTCGTCTTATTGCATAACATATACATACCAAATATTATTGAAATCGGATTAGTTTTCTGTATACATATAGTTTTAACTCGTCGTGGGACACCCTGTAGTTTATAGAGAAGAGAGTAGACAGTAGCAAATAGAGAGTATACCTAGGGTAGATTGTATAGAGTGGAGGGTAGAGAGAATAGAATAGAGAGAACTGATAGTACAGAATAGTATAGAGAATAGAGAGTAGAAAGTGGAGAATAGAGAGAATAGATACACCCTGCATTAGAGTGGACATTTCTCACTACACTCATGAATTTTCTTGATATTTCCCAAAGTGATCTACAACGCATTTAATTACCAATCAAAGTATATTACTAAACATATTGAAATTTCGTCTAGCCCTTTAATACGCCCCCTTTACATCCGTTTGGGGTAGAAAGAAAACTTAACATATACCCACTTCAACTTACAAACGAGCGATACACGCGCCCTCAAATTCCCTCAAACTAACGCACCGTTTGTAAAAAAATCACCCTTAATTAACGAGAACACCAACGTGTTAATTGGCAATCCGAGTCAAAGTTAAGTGCATAGAGGGCCGCACATTCCCAGAATTCTCACCGACACCAGCTGGCTTTAGTGCGCCCTAAAGGCGGCCTTACACCAACGCAACATGTAGCATGCGACATGTTGCCAAGTGTCATTATAGCATGGACGCTTGCTACAAAATGTTGCCTTTTGCTGCTGATCCACAACAGGTGGAAAAATAGGCGATTATTCGTGCGATTTCAAACGTTTTGTCTGTATTTTGAATATTTTTGGTGTAATGATGGAACGGCCAAATGAAAAAAAACTGTAATGTTTATTGATAACCGAAAGATTACCGAAATAATGAAATAGGTACTCTGGAATCAACAGTTAAGCGATTTCAAGAAAAACAGTAAAAAGTTTGATATTTTAAAATAAGTGAAATACAGGGTGTTCCTCAGCATCGTGCACATACGAAAGGAGGTGTGATTCCTTGGCTTATTTCATGACTAAAAGTTCATAGAAACATAGGTCCGCAAACGCTTCATTATCGATCTACAGGGTGTTGAAATTTTAAGATTTTTTTCGTTTTTTAGAGCTTTTGCAGTTTTTGAGATACTTAGCTCAAATTTGGTGTAGGATATAATTTGTGTAGGAGGGGGTCACTTCCAATTTAAATTTTTTTTCTCGTTAACGGTCACAGAAACGAAAAGTTTAAAAATAAATAAGTTTCTAAGTAAAACAGACAATTCATTTTGTATTTTAGAATCTACCAGCGGCGCACAGCAAAAAAAGTTCGGTGGGAGAAAAGGGAACATGACTCCTGAAAAAATATCACCCTGTAGATTTCAACAACCATCTGACCATACCCAATAATGTATGCCCTATAAATAAAAGTAGATTCCAAATTTGAGCGAAATATCTCAAAAACTTCAGGAGCTACAAAAAAAAAACAAAAAAAAATATCGAAATTTCAATACCCTTTAGTAAGGAACATATGAATGCAATATTGCAAATAAACCAGTCCATTTGAGAGTTTTCCTGAAAGCTCGAGAACTCCCGATAGTTACTCTCAGGTCTTTGTCCATTTGAGAGCAAACTCGCGAATTTTTACTCCCCGAGTTTCCAAAATGCTAGTTTAGTTGCGAGTTTATTTCGATTTCGAAAAATGTGGGTTTAATAGAAAATTATAGTCTAAAATTATTATAAATAAGCCGTTAAATTTAGTTTCGATTCAAAAAATAGATGAATATGGGCGAAAGAATTAAGGCTTTAAGAAAGTTGGACCCCCCGATACATCTGAGATGGATTGATAATAGTATAGTAGTAGACAATAGTAAAGAAACTAGGATAATTAAATAAACGATAGATATGTGGCTGGTCTCTCACTATATTTATTTATAAACCTTTACTTTCAGAGAGCACTCTCAGAATACCGATTTTATTTGAATTTTTCTTAGTTACTCTCGATAGTACTAAAAACGATGTGTCGACTTGACAGCAACTCGCGACCTACTAACTCACAGAGAGTAATCATTAACTCTCAAATAGTTACTCTCAACATTGTCCACTAATGAGAACTACTCTCGAGAGTTTTTCTCTCAAATGGACACCTAGCATTAGGCCGCTTTTAACGTCATACACCTCTAGCAATCTAATGTATTTCTTTCTAACTTTCTGTTGCAGTACTCAAAGCACTTCAGAAAAACCGCACCTCGATTCGAGCGGCTCGGACAGCGAGACAGAAGGTCATAAAATGACGTACGCGCCGAGCGGACTGATCCAGACGCAGATGAATCCCTATCAGACGATAACGGCACCGGCGCCTTACGCCTGTCAGCCGATGTATCAGACGCCGCCGGAAATGCTGCAGGATTATCAAGCTTTGTGACAATGGTTGATCGTACCGCAGAGTTATCCAGCCGGTGGCAATTTATAGACACGCTATAGTTATAATGGAAGCCTGAAAAAATTCAATAAAATTTAGTATCTATACGGGCGTTTGGTTTTTTTATTCGTTCGTCCCGGAAGGGTTGAGGTTGAGGTCGAGTCGTAAAAAAATAATACATTTATAAGCAAATATAATTGTAAATATCTTACAATAATTACATAATGTTCTAGTTCTAAGTCACTGAAATGTTTTTGCAAAGAACTAGCCTAGGAAAAAACACACAAATTATACAACGCGCGCCTTTTGAACATTGTTCAGACTTCGGTGAAACAATAGTTGAGCGATAAAACCATCGTATTTACATTTTTTTACAATTGCTTCGCTATTATTACAACTAAGTTAATTGAGATGTTTCGAGCTATCTTAAATTTGTTGCTTAAATAAATAATCGAATGCAAACTTATAAATATAAATACACGTACAAAAAATTAAAATTAGAACACAATTATCAAAAATACAAAAATCCAAATATCTTACGTTCTCTAAAAAAAATTCAATTTGTTATATTTATCGACAGAGTGGCAAAAATTGCGATATATACAAACATCAAATACTAAATAAATTAAAAAGAAAAACAATATTTTCAAAAGTGCACTCACTGTCCAATTTTCGCCCCTCCGCACACTGCAATTTACACGATCAGAAAATGTCCTAGCGAATTATCTTATTATCAATTGTATATCACACCCAGAAAACTACCTGTATCGTTCTAGTAATTATCAAAAATATGAAACTTCCTGTTTTCTCTTCAAGTTACATCGATTAGAAACCCTTAGCTACTGTTTTACAGTTAAAGTGCCTCCTGGCGTACAGCAATACTCAACTGTGTGAAACGCACAGCTCGTTCCACCTCGTCTCGAAGAACTGTCTCATGCAATGACCCGCTTTCCCCACGGGACTGTCGTCCTCGTTGAAAATCTCGCAGTTGTTGAATATCTGCCTGACGTCCTCGCAAAATTCCTCCTTCGACTTGTAACTACAAACGAATACAGGGTGTTAATTAATTGAGTGCCGATACTTCAGCAGGTGAATATTTGGGTGATTTTAAGAAGAAATTTTTATATCAATATATGTCCTACACCTCTTAGTTTTTGAGCTACAGGGTGTTACAGTTTTAGAACAAACACTTTTCTATCATAATTTTCATATTACTCCAGATATTTTTACCAGTTTATCAGTAACCTCCGTAAGGGGTTTGAACTGAACATGTTTGAAGAAAAAATGGTATGCTACTGATTTTTCGAAAAACTAAAATTATTTTTAGTATCTTAATTTATTTTGGAGCAAATTCGCTCCGAAGACTTACTTTCATACGACGAACCATTTTCGCATAAAAATATAAAAACCAAAACAATTTTTTCTTAAGTTCATCGAGACTGCTTCTGATATTTTGTTGAAATTTAGTAAACGCCCACCATGCATGGAGGCACTTTTTTTTGGGGACAAAGATTAATTTTCTACTATTACCAGTGACGTCCATGGAGAAATAAAAAAACGGAAAATTATGATAGAAAAGTAATTTTTTTCCTAAAACTGTTATACCTGTGCACAGTTCGTGTATAAAAAATATCAAAACACGTCACTACTGTCGTCATACTTGTCAAGTATTGTGCACAACTTTTAAAAATAAATACACAAAATAGATTAAGCTTAATACCTGCAGAATTTCATTTAATATTAACAAGGGATGGTAAAAAATGTTAAAAAGCAGAATTAAATCACCCAAAAAATATATACTGTCAAAATTCAACGTTTGTATATAAAATTATTATTATTTTCTTATAGTAGGTTGGTCGGCATTAACTTTCAAGTTGCATAGTTGTCGTTGTCACCCGATCGGTACTTTTAATTTTCAATTTCTTTCTCTTTTTTCTAGTTTACTAGCCTCAACTACTAAAGGCTAATCAGCAGCATAATCAAGAAATAAGAATTTTTTGAGTGGTTATCTTTTCCACATGTTAGAAATGATACAATTTAAGCTCTAAATAATTCAGATTCAGAAGTTTTCTCAGAAATTTCACTATGTACTCTTAAGAGTCAATTGTAAACAATTTTTTTACTCGCACTGTTAAATATATTTCAGATGATAAAGGAATTTGATGATTAATTATAGTGAGCCCATAAACATATCCGCCGTTTAGAAACGTGAAACATGTACCCCTAATATTCAATTGTCATTGTGTTTTTGTCACTTTGCCATTTGACAATTTTAGAAAATTCTTAGATTTTGTAAACTCTATAAAAGTTCGGCAACACTGCCTACTTGTGACATAGTAAATTATAGGTGACGTGCATTGATATTTGTTATGCACTAACTGTATAATAGAACAACTTACGTCAAATCTTGCAATTTCTTCTTAATAGTCGACAAATCCATCGGCACCTTGATGATTTTCTTGTAAGTGGGAAACTGCTTGGTGTTGACGGGCAAAAGGAACGGCCAGGCGTCGTCGTGGCATTCGAGATCCTCCAATAGGGCTTTGCACGGCGCTAATTCCTTCGCTAGTTTTTTGTTCGAACGGTCCTTCTTGGCGGAATTGGGCGTCGACGGGGATCCCACGCTCGTCACGCCCGAATTGGGCGTATCCGATTGGCTGGTATTGTTCACTACCGGCATATCCTCGTTAGTCGTTACCGAACTGTGCGAGGGCGTAGGACTGAAACGATTCGAGAATATTTGGTTCTTGCAAAAACAATACTTTACTTGATGTACCGGGTGGATTACTTGGCTCTCGAATAAGGTAATCGACTCTCTTGGACGTGTAATTGGCACTCTAGGGCGGACAATCGACTCTCTTACGGCTAAATAAATGGCTCTCTTAGGCAGGTAATTGACTCTCCTGGGTACATAAACTACTCCCTTGGCTCCCTTAAGTAAGTAAATGATTCATTCGATTCACTCTTTTACATAAAAATTACTTTATAAGTACTTTATCAAGCCGTACCCAAGAAGAGTATGCAAAATACGAGTACCTATTAACAATTTATCGCGAAACTATCTACAACATTAGAACATCACTGATACGAGTGGACTTGTACACATTCTAAAGTTATAGTGGCCTGGACCTAATAAATAAAAGTGAAAATCGATCGATTAAAATCTGAAATAAACTCGAATTTCTGCTTGAAATAAATTACCTAGAGGGAGGCAGCTGTTCAGATGACTCGTTTTGATCTTTCGCAACCTTGTGGTTTTTCTTGATGGGCTTCTTCGGAGGTTTCTTGGCTATGCAGTTCGAACAGTACCATTTTCCTCTAGGAACTTTCAGTAGATTAGGTTGGATGCAATCGGTGTGATAAGAGCGCGGGCAAATTTCGCATAAAATCAGTTTGGTGCCCGTCATCGAGGATTTCTTACCGCAAACGATGCAATTGCGTTCGCCTGTCGCTTTGTTCACGCATTCGTGGCAGTACCTACAAAACAAATGATGCTCTATTACATTAAATATTCGAAATAAAAATCTCAAAAAGTTATAGGTTGATTAAACTCGTCACTTTTATAAATGGTGCAACGTTAATAAACTTAAGTGAAATTTAAAATTAAACGATAGTTTAATTAACTTTCGTTTAGTTCGAGTTTGGCGCAAGACCCCGTAAGTTTTGTTCTTGTTTTGTTTTCGTTTTGGTTTTTTCCATTGGTTGTATACAACACGACTGTTTCCACTAAATAAACTCGAGTTTTAAAACATGTTGTAACTGCCGAAGCCTTTTTATGTTACAAACTGTGGCAAAACTCAATAGTCTTCAAAAGATTGTTAAAAATTCTGTTTTTTTTTTCTTCGACATGAGTTTAGGTTTTGTTTCAGTTTTGTCCGCTTAATGGAAAACCGTCATAACACAACAGGCTAGTTAATTAAATGATTACGTACCAATCTCCTTCGGGAATATTGTCCATTTTAGGTTTAAAACAGTACGTGTGATAACCCTTATCGCATCCGTCGCAGAGCAATAATTTATCCTCGTTGTCACCGCTATGACAAAATTGGCAATTCTAAATAGAAAAAAATAGAGCAATTAAAGAGCACCCGTAGCGTTAGAAATGTACTATGTACTTACAGCTTTCATTATACTTTTATCCCAAGCTATGGAAGCTTCTAAAGAATAGAGGCACATCGCTAATTGAGCAGAAGTCGAACATCGGTTAACAGCTTCCCTCCATACGATCAAACCCTTGGGAAGATCGTCGGAATTTATCGGCAGATTGGGAGTTCCGGTCGATTCTTGAGCCAAAGCGGCGAGATGAGGATCGGCGGTACTACAATATCATTTTCAAATTAAACACCGGAATTCTATCGGTATACGTGTATTTAAATTACCTTGCCCCTAAGGGCGGTTTTAGGTATCTCCGTTCGATGTTCATTTCGAGAGATGCCAATCGTTCCTTCGCTGTATTGACGACGTGCTCCGGTTCCGGATCGTCGGCCTCTCGATTCGGCACTTTCCATCCTTTCACTTGCATGCTGGCGCTCGCGACTTTGTCTTCTAACGCTTCGACCTACAAGAAAAATCATTGCCATTAAATAATCTAACAAAGTTCGTACATAAATGACAATGACCCGCATTCAGCCCTTCTAGAGTGACTCTAAGTCGCGGCTCGAGTCCCTAGTTACTCCATAACAACAATGTAAATCTGTCAAGTTAAAGACGCGACTAAAGTTTAGAGTCGCCCTAAAGTTAAATAGAGGCGCTGAATATGGGCCAATGACGTCATTTTTAGTAATTTCCACGCTGTGCGAAATTTCCCTCGAGCCAATGTTAATTCTGCCATATGACTAGGGAAATTTTACCTAGCGCGGCTGAAGTACCGATGCGTTGTTGCCATATCGCTTAGCTTAGATTCCTCTCTTTGTAGTTGACACGTTTGACCACAATGTTTTTATGACTTTCCCAGCGATTTTTCTTTTTCTGGAGCGTTCTTAACGATTCTAAACAGTTCTAAATCATTCTGGACAATTCTAAATCATTCTGGACAATTCTAAATGATTCTAGACAGTTCTAAATGATTTTGAAGCATTCTAAATGGTTCAAGTCAGACCTAAAATGTTCTGAAGCGTTCTAAATGGTTCTGGATTGCTCTAAATGGTTTTAGATGGTTTTAAATGTTTCTGAAGTGTTTTAAATGTAAAGAAGCGTTCTAAATGGTTCGGGGGTGTTCTAAATGATTCTACACAGTTTTAAATAATTTTGGAGCGTTCTAAATGATTTTGGAGCATTCTAAATGATTTTGGAGCATTCTAAATGATTTTGGAGCATTCTAAATGGTTCAAGTCAGACCTAAAATGTTCTGAAGCGTTCTAAATGGTTCTGGATTGCTCTAAATGGTTTTAGATGGTTCTAAATGTTTCTGAAGCGTTTTAAATATAAAGAAGGGTTCTAAGTGGTTCGGGAGTGTTGTAAATGGTTCAAGTCAGATCTAAATAGTTCTGGAGCGTTCTCAATGATTGTGGACCATTCTAAACGATTCTAGACAGTTCTTAATGATTTTGGAGCATTCTAAATTATTCAAGATAGTTCTAAACGATTCTAGAGCGTTCTAAATGGTTTTAGACAGTTCTAAATGATTCTCGACAGTTCTATAGTACATAGAGGGGAAGTGTGTAAATTATGTACCTAGCCAGTACATGTAGAGGTGAAAAAGTTTAGAAATCTAATACTTCCAGGCCTCTTACTTATGAGAGATATAGCCAAACAAACGCTGCACCAACGAATTATAAAATATAAACATTTTATTGCGTACCTGCTCCAGTAGGAACATGTCGACTCTCCGTTCGATGGAAACATTCCAGCTACCGGGTTTGTCGGGTTCCGGTGCTCCCTTATGGACAAACGAAATACCATCCATTGGAGAATCGCTTAGGGAGCTGAGCTCCTTGGAGCCTTCTTCGATGACAATTCTGCCTTTCTGTTCGTACATCGTCTGCATGACGTTTATGAAATTCCTCTTCAATTCCCTTTCTCTTATGCCCCTAATCTGAAGTTTATCCAAGATGTCTCGCAGCTGCGTAGTGTCGCTGATTCTCCACCAACCGAATCTACGAAAGAGCGTTAGATAACGTTTAGATTCGTTACGAACGAGAAACGGAACGGGACTTACCTCATGGAATAGGGAACGGCCTTTTTATCGTAAGTTTTCGGTATACCGTGTTCTTTTACATATTCTAATTGTGCACTTTCTTCGGGCGATAATTGCAAGGGTGCGGGACTGTCGCAATTATTGTAACTGGAATTCATGTCTACAGGAGGAAAAACGGGAATTTTCAGTTCGAGTATGTCTCTAGTGCAAGCTCCAACGCCGTTTTCCCATTTATTGCCGGAATTCAGTTGGATGCCTTCGCAAGACACCCATTCCGAGTTTAAAATGCTGAACCACTTGGGTTCCTGCTCTTCTTCGCTCTCTTGCTTCGCTTCGTGCTTGATTTCGTTTTTAATGTCGGATTTCAATTCGTTCAATATTTCATTCTTCAATTCTTCCTGTAAACGAAATTAATAAAAAATTAGATGGTTTGGTATCAGCTTCAACAATGCTAGGTGTCCATTTGAGAGAAAAACGGCTATCGAGAGTAGTTCTCGCCTATGGACAATGTTGTGAGAGTAACTATTTGAGAGTTAATGATTACTCTCTGCGAGTTAGTATGTCGCGAGTTGTTGTCGAGTCGACACATCGTTTTTAGTACTATCGAGAGTAAATAAGAAAAATTCAAATAAAATCAGTTTTCTAGGAGTTCTCTCCGAGAGTAAAGGTACATAAATAGTGAGAGACCCGCCACATATCTATCGTTTATTTAATTACCCTAGTTCCTTTACTACTCTTGAAGGGATATTTAAATACGTATTTGTTAAAAATTAAGGTTTTAAAGTTAAAAATAAAAATTAGTTTTTTTATACTGGCTCAGAATGGCGTAATTCTTTTTCGTGAAAAGTTGTACAGAATATCTTTGTTTGTCAGAATATAATGTTATTTACCTAATTTTTGAATCGAAACTAAATTTATCGGCTTATTTATAATAATTTTAGACTCTGTAATTTTCTATTATACCCACATTTTGGGAAATAAATCTCAATTTTTGGCATTACAATTTTTAAATCTCCAAAGTTTGGAACATTTTTAACCCGTTATTAATAATAAAATTAATTTCATAGCACCTTTTAAACAGTTCCATTTATTTTAACAAAAATCTTTTTATTAGTCAATATACTGATAGAAAATGGTAAAGTAAAAAATATATTTCAGTAATGTATTAGTAGATTTTTAGTAAAAGTAACTTAATCTGTTAAAAACGCGACCAGTCAAAAATTGCTAAAAATGTTTCCAACTGTAGTTGACAAAACTCTCAGCAAAAACCTAGTGGACACGGTTCTGAGAGTACAAATTTTATAAAACTCGCAACTAGCATTTTGGACACTCTCAAAGAGTAGTGAAGAATAGTCAACTGTCACGAGAGTTACTCTCAGGAAAACTCTCAAATGAACAGGTAGCGTAACTGATGAATAATTACCTTAACTTCCGCCTTAACATCAGCCTTTAGATCTTCTTCAGTCTTATTTTCGCGTTCCATGCATTGGCCTAATCGTTCGAATAAGCTGAATTTCTTATTACTAAACGATTCGAATTCCGTTGAATTATTAACGTCGTCGTGGTTCTCCCGCGGCGATTCGGACGTTTCCTTCTTCACGATTTCCTCCGAGGTCTCCACCTCGTCGCCGTTCTTCTCCGACTCGTCCGAATTTTGCTCGCTCTTCACGGAAACTTGACCGTTTTCGATAGCCCCTATTCGGTTCGGCGTTTTCCTATGCTCGTTCTCGTCGTATTTCAGCCTAGAATCGGAATCCTCCACCTCGCTCTTATCCACGATGCTGTTGACTTCTTCGTCCGCGTCCAGGTCCACGTCGTCGGTTTCCTCGTCTCTTTGGCTCAAACCGTCCATTTCGTTGTTTTTCTGGGCGTTGTCGCTGCCGCTGCCGCTGCCGTCCTTCAGATCGTCCGTTTCCATTTGTTCCTCCATTTGATCGGGATCGGCGCTTTCCATCGATTCCACGTACACGCCGCCGACCTTCGGAAGGGACCAGTACCGCCGGTAGAAGCGATCCTGGCCGAAACAAATGGCGCGCAGCTGAAGGCTGGCCGTCGTTAGGGTCTTGAAGTGCGTCTCGGACGTTTTCACGAATTTTTCAAGTTTCTTTCCCAATTCCTCGCCGGATAATTTATTATCTTCTTCCTGGCAAACAGCAATTTTCTGTTAGTATTGTTAATATTATCACTAGAGCCTGGAAAATATGCAAAATGCATACGTGCATATTTCCCCCAAAAATTCAATATGCAAAATTTCATTTTTTAATAGATATATTTTGCCAATAATAATTAAAATACGTTAAACTTAACGAATAATAAAATGAAAACGCTTAAAATTAGGTACTTGCAAATTCGGGTAACTAAAGGAAACACCCAATGCTGATTCTGAGAACTCTTAAATATAGTGTTCTGAACGGATCTGGAAGCATCCTAATTGGTTTTAGACAGATCTAAACTATTCTGAAGCGTTTTAAATGAGTTTAGACAGTTCTAAATGGTTCTAGACAGTTCTAATGATTCTGGAGCATTCTACATCATTCTGGAGTGTTGAGAACGGTTTTGGAGCGTTCTAGATGGTTCTAGAGCGTTCTAAATGTTTCTGGAGCGTTTTAAACGGGTTTAGACGATTCTAAACGATTATGGAGCATTTATCTAAACGATATGGAGTTTTAGACAGTTGTAAATAATTCTGGAGGCTTCTAAATGGTTCTGAAACTTTTTAAATGATTGTAGACAGTTCTTAATGATTCTGGATTGTTCTAAATTGGTTTAGACAGTTCTAAATGATTTTTGTGTTTTTTACGTCATTCTGGAGTGTTGTGAACGGTTCTAGGGCGTTCTAAATGATTCTGGACAGTTCAAAAAATATTATGGTACGTTCTGAACGGCTCTGGAACGTTCTTAATAGTTTCTGGGGCGTTCTAAATGTTTCTGGAACGTTCTAAATGGTTTTGGAACGTTTTAAATGATTCTAGACAGTTCTAAATGATTCTGGAGCATTCTACATAATTGTGGATTGTTGTGAACGGTTCTGCAGCGTTCTAAATTGCTCTAGGCAGTTCTAAATGATTCTGGAGCGATAATAAATGATTCGATATTTTTTAGCGAATGAGTAGCGCCACTAGTAGCAACCCGGTAAGTCAATCAGCAATAAACTGCTTTATAAGCGGTGGGTGGACCTCGTTGACTCCACTAGAGGAGTAAGGGTACTCCAGTATAAGGTCTAAGGGACTCCAAGGGAACAGGATACGTTTATGAGTGAGAATTAGCCATAGGCATTGTAATCTACTATATCTAGTTAATCTGTTTGAAGAACTTTTGAAACGTAAACCTATACCCCCAGTATTAAAGTAACATAAGGAAGGACCCGTAAACCTTAAACATGAGAATTGTATTTGTACTTACTTCATCGGGTTGAGTTCCCACGCTTTCGTTTTCGCTCAATTCGTTTTCCTCTTCATCTAACAAATCGTCTTTGTTCAAAGAGGGAGAGTCAGCCATTTGATCGTCTTCTAATTTACTCTGCGATTTCTCAAGAGTTTCTGTCCGGACTTTTTTATTGTGCAGCATTCGAAGCCTAACAAACATAAATTTATTCTCTTACAATTCCCTAATATTAATTCATTTGTATACGTACTTTCTAATTTTCATATCAATCATCCACTTTTCCTTTTTCTGCTGTGTCACGGTTTCCAAAGAAGTTTCAATTTGCCGGATGACGGCCTTGTTTTGGAGCAGTTCGTTGCAAATGTACGCTAATATTTCGGCCTTAATGGTGGGATTGAGGGCGATAAAGGGTTTGGATCTGAGCAAATCGGAGAGCTTGTAGGTGGGATGGTTGTGAAGCTGTTCGTAGTAATTGGCGTTTTTGCCGGATTGCGTTACGACCATTTCGTCGTCGTTTTGGTGATGATCGGCGACGCGCTTCTCCCGTTCTCTTTCGAAATGAATGCCCGTAAGCGCTTTAATTTCGCCCGTGGCGTTGGCGTATAGGTAAATTCGAAGTATTTCGGAAATGTTCGACGGAGTTATATCGGCCTGCCGTAAACTCTGACCTAGGATCGTTGTGTATCGACCGGGATTAGGAATACCCGGATCTTCAATGGCGCATACGAGCAGATGGGTCATCACTGAGAAAAGTTCATCTTCAGCATCGACGGGATTCTCGTTATAAATTAAGGCTTGCTGAAGGGAATCGAGCGTCGGCAGGGATTCCATATCGAAACCCAACGTTTCGCCGAAGTTGTGAAGGAATTCGAATACCATGAGAATGTCGGCGAACGCTTTACCGCTCAATTTTAGTCCCGGTATTCTTTCTAAATCCGGCAAAGAGTTTTGGTCCAACTCCAAATCCTCGCAAGGTTTCCTAATTTCGGCGAGGATTTCCAAATCTTGCCTCCTTTGTTCCAGCTTTTTCTCTTTGTTCGCTTGCTTTTCGGCAAGCAACTGTTGCTTCTTCCTTTCGCGTTCTTCCAATTTACGTCTACTCTCCAATGATTTTATTAGAGACATGTGCTGACGTCTCCTCTCTCGCTCCTAAAAAATGCAACAGATTAAATATCATTTTAAATGTTTACGTTACGGATAAAGTTAATACGATAAACAAGTTAATAAAGATAAACGAATAAATCTAGGTGTGCCCGGGTTAAAAACCTTCCCTATCCTACCCATTTTTCTTGACTATTTCGCAGTTTACCCAGGTAAGCCTAGGTTTAGTCGTTTATTTAGCTTTATCCGTTATATACAGGGTGTTTAGAAAATAGAAGTCAATAATTCGGGGGCGTATAGATGACATCAAAATAAGGGTATAACTTCATATAAATTTTGTTCATTTGATCCCCCATTTTTGAACTAGAGGCCTTTAAAGTTGAAAATTTAAAACTTATTTTTACGTTTTATTTCGTTTTATTTTATAAGTTATTCATAGAAACAATAAAAAAAATTTGTGATTTATTTATTACATACACCCGTGTGCCCAAATTGGTGATCAAATTAATCCTACATTACAGTCTGGAAGACAGTGGCGGCGTGATTAACAATTCGTAACTTTTACTAGGACAATCTGTATAAGGCAAACATATTGTAAACACATTCTTTAATTGATAAACTAACAAAAATGTACTCTGTTTGCAGTCGATAAAATTAACAGTTTTACAGAAATTTCAATTTTTAAATCAGAATGTAGAGAAGAAAATTTTTTCTTAATCGCCAAATGAAAGATTATAATAAATGTTCAAGTTGGGAATCCTGTCGTTGAAAAATACTTATGAAACATAAGGAGAATATTTCTTTGTACTCTAAAAGGCATTTCTTAATTTCGCAATGAAAATTTGTTCTGTTAATTAATTTTCTCTTGATTTAGTGGAATTTCGTCTAATAGAGGTGGTAAATCATTCTGAAGAAATTCCAAAATCGTCTCTATTGTTCTTTCAATATTTTTTGTAACTATTTAGTTACAAATAATAGGAGTTTGTCCACAATTTTTGTTTATCCAAAAATCTCTCTCTATCTATCATCTCAATCTAAAAATTAAAATTTCTCTAAAACCGTTAATTTTATCGACTTCAAACAAGAGTACATTTTTTTGTTAGTTCATCGATTAAAGAATGTATTTACGAAATTTTTGCTTTATACAGATTATCCCCATAAAAGTTACGAATTGTTAATCACTGGGAACACGACGCCACTGTCTTTCAAACTGTTGAAAGGTGTAGGTAAAAACCAGGTAGGTATAAACCACAAAAATGTTATATTGTTCCCATGTATATCTTGGAAATAAAACGTCAAAATAAGTTTTAAATTTTTAACTTTACAGGCCTCTAGCTCAAAAATTAACAAAATTTATATGAAGATATCCCTTATTTTGATGTCATACATACGCTCCCGAATTATGGACATCTATTTTCTGGACATCCTTTACACACTATTTAAGGCATTGTAGGGTATAATTACCTGTTCCTTGAGCAGAATAGCTTGTTGTCTTTTTAACTCCCTTTCCTAAAAATGAATTGTATTATTTTTAACGAATAAAGAAACGCCCTTCGAACTAACCTCCATTATTTCTTGCGATCGCGCCTCTTTTTCCCTTTTAGCTTGCTCTTGTCTCTCGTTCCTTTCGGCTTCTTTAATCAATTTCGTCTGTTCCCTATCCTGCCTAGCTGCCGCCCTAGCTGCTTGCTGCTTCCTTGCCATTTCAATTCTTTGTTCTACAGGCAGGTTCGTTCTCATCGAATTCTTAAATTCTTCGATCCTGCGACGGTATCGTATTAATAGATTACATTGCATCGTTATAAATATTCTACTGACCTTCTATTTACATCTTCTTCAGTTAAGTATATGAATTCGCTTCCGTCTAACTGAATTTCGGCAGGAACCGGTTGTAGGTAATCACCCAATATTACTCGGCAGCTGAACGTGAAATTTTCTTTAGACAGTTCAGAACTTTTCTGATATTCTAAGTACTGAAAAATATAATAATTGTTAAAAGAGACCGACTAAAATCATTGAACGAGATTTAGCGAAGTTTATTGAAGTGTATAATCAACTTACACCAGTTGGCCTTGGATTTTATGACAGTTGTTGACAGTACTTCAATATTTTATGTAAGTAATGTTCTATGGCATAGAACTAACAGAATTAGTAGCTTTATTTCGAATATAAATTGTTTGAATGTTGCAAAAAAGCATAAAAAATTCTTATATAATACATTTTTAATAAATTTAGTGAATATTATTTTACATTTAGAGGTTATCTCTACCTGAATGTCACTACTTTAGTACTGTCAAAAGATTAGGCCGATTTTTTTTTTGTAGAACTGTGATAAAAGCGAACAAACCTGCGTTACATCGGACATTTGCTTAAACTTATTGGACGAATCAGGTGCTACATAAGTAACGTCGCCCTTTAAACCTCCCGTTTTCGTTAAACCACGGATAATGGTTTCTCTTTTCCAACCTAAAATTAAGAGTAAAATGTAAACACACGAATAATATTAGTTACCTTGCGGTTACCTTTATCTAAAGGGACTCTTAATAGTCTTTCATCGTAATGCTTCTGCTTCTTAGCAACGACCTCTGTTTCCATTTCCGAATCAGTGTGATTCGAATCCGTTAAATTATCCGAATCGGAGGTCGCGTCTACCGTACTGGAATCACTAAGGGCGCCCTTAATTTTCTCCTGGAAATATTTATTTAAAGCTTTCTCATCGCCGCCGGTCTCTTGGAGGTACTGTTGGGCTGCCATTATGTTCGACTTCAGCAATGACATTTGCTGGTTTATAGAGGCGTTCGGGTCCAACATAGGTAAAGGCTTGATCCCTGCGAATAGTTCGCAAATGAGCATTTAAAGCGTTTAAACGAACAAAGTTAAATACCTAAGGCTCGGCTTTGGGCCAGAAGGGACGCGACAGTGTTCTTTTTCGGTTTACTAACGCCCCTTCCTAAATTCCTTGGCCTGCCTTCTTTCTGGCTGTATCCCAGCCCCGCAGAAATCGGCGTGCTAGACGAAAGCAGAGCCGTCGTAGTGCAAGTCGAGGATGTCGAGCTGCCTCCGTCCGAACCCTCATTTCGACTAGGAGGTCTGGGAGAATCCACTTGTGTGAAGAGATGAGAATATGATGATGCATTGGAAGAGGACGTCGTTATTTGGGAGCTAGTAGGAACCACACGGCGTGGCTTAGGTCCTGGTTTCCTTCGAGCTTTAAACATCAATAACTCATTACACTGATCGACGGGATTCTTAAGGATTATAGAAAATTAATTGTTGCCGCTTTTACTACTTACATATTCTATCAGATCCTATGCTAGACGAAATGCTGCTCAACGAGGCCAAAGCCGAATTAATATTGGAAACCTCCGAATTGGGCTTCAACGAAAGATTCAAAGGAGCCTCTCCTGTGGTTTCCGAATTGTCATAGTTGGAACCGGCGTCCAGCAAGTTACCGTTGGTAGCCGGAAGCTTAATAACTTCAACCTTGTCGCTGTGGGGCGTCAGCGGTGGTGTAATGTCTTGATCCTAGAAAACGAATTCGTTTGAATGGAGCTTGAATGAAATACGTTAAAGCTGACATACATTTAGTTTAGGCCGTTTGGTTGTGTGTTCAAATAAAGAGGCAGCGTTAATAGAAGGATGTAAACTTACAGAAGGCGGATCGAGACTAATGGTTTTCTTTCTTCCTCGATTCGTTGTACCCGGTACTTTAGGACCGACAATGGACGAAGTGTACTTGATGATTTCTGTGTCGGGTGGCAACCTAACACCACCCAAAATAGAATTAGGATCACTGTAAAAATACACATGCAATCTTGTTTATACAATATACAAAAAAAACTGTGTAACAAATAGAAATGCGATATGTTAAGCACAATCCGTTCAACATTCCTTACAGAGTCTTTTAAAATGATTGTATACAAAATATATGCATGAAGACTAAATCGAAAAATCCACTCCATTCATTAATAACATACTTCGCTACATATCAGCTTTAGAGCTTTTTCACATGGTTAATTAAGTACTGATACTTCAGTATGTGAATATTTGGATGATTTTAGGAGGAAATGTTTATATCAATGTATGTCCTAAACCCCTTAGTTTTCGAGCTACTGCGTGTTACAGTTATAAATAAACAACTTTTCTATCATAATTTTCTTATTACTCCATATATTTTGATGAAATTTTGTACACTTTTTAATTATTAAGCAGCATTTGTCCCCCAAAAAATGTGTTCCATGCATGCTGGGCGCCTAGCAAATTTTAACAATGTATCAAAAATAGTCTCAATGAACTTGGGAAAAAATTGGTTTGGTTTTTTTAATTTTTTACGCGAAAATGGTGCGTCGTATGAAAGTAAGTCTTCGGACCGATTTTGTTCCAAAATTAATGAGGTGTAGAAAAATAATTTTGGTTTTTAGAAAAAGCAGTGGCGTACCATTTTTTTAAACATACTCAGTTCAACCCCCGTACGGACGTTACTGGTAACTTATATAAAAAAACTTTTGCTTCAAAAAGTGCTCCATAAAAATTAAAAAGTATGTACAAAATTTCATAAAAATATCTGGAGTAATAAGAAAATTATGATAGAAATGTTATTTTTTCTGAAACTGTACCACCTTCTAGCTCGAAAACTTTAAGGCATATTTAAGTACATATAAACTTTTCTTCTTAAAATCATCCAAAGATTCCAATTAATTAACACTCTGCATTGCTGCAATATTTCATTACAGTTTTTTATAAAATTGTCAATAAAAATGATCATTTGCATTAAAAATTTGCATTTGAACGTATGTATTTCAACTGCAATGCAACATTGCAGCAATTTAATTTATTTCTGCAATATATTCCACTTTGTGAAAACGCTCATAGTATGATATACTAAAAATTGAATTTTGTTCCAATGGGCTAATAAGTTTATTATGTATTTATCAATATAACAAGACAAAGAAAATGTATATTCGAATTTGAATGAAAATAAACTAGGCAACTTTTAAAATATAAAAATTGGCACTACACTACCATCAAGTTATTAACATTTAACCGAGCATTCAATGTACTTCAAAAATAGGTATAAACACGAGAAAACATGAATAATTCAAAGTTTAGCACAGCGAATCTTACCTGCTACCTTCCAAAGCGGCACTATAATAAAAATACCAAATTTATACCATAGAAAATTAAAGCTAATACGGGCTTTTAATGTAACATTACATCGAATTAATTTAAAGTCGCGGCGTTTATTATTAAATATTTTATGATGAAATATTCACCTCAATATGCTAGAGGAAACGCAGTTGTTCCCGCCGTTATTACCGCCATCGCCTTTCTCAGAACCGCCACCGGCGTTGCCGTGTCCGTAGGAACTAGCGTATATGCTGGGCGAGGAGGATGGCGTTTCTTTCAAACCGGGACTGTCACTACCCGATACTGAATTATTTACACTTTTCGCACTTTTATTATAACTGTTGGAATCGTTCGAGGTGGATTTCAGCCGATGGTGCTTCTCCGAAGGCGACGGCTTATAGGCGGGATGAACGGACAAATTCTGAGAGTACTTGGACGAGTTCGATTGCGAGTTCGTGGAGGAATGCAGTGTCGATAAAGACGATGCGCTCATCGGATCAGTCATGCAGTTGGTGTCTGATTTCGATGAGTTTTTAGAGTGATTATGAGATCTGAAAATAAATAAAATGTAGAAAATCGTTGGAATGCTTTATGCGAATGCTTACCGAGATGATGACGAGTGGCCGCTTTTGTAGTGATTTTTCGAACTCTTGTGCTGACTAGTAACTGACGGAAGCCCCAATCCAGGATATTGCAATTCGCCACCTAATCCGGGAAAACTTAAACCCGAAGCCTGCAATCTAGCGAGGTAATCCTGGGCTGCCAGCTGCGAAGCCATAGACCACCAAGCTGCACCTAAATAATCAACACAAAATATAATAAAGGTAGTTGAAAAAATTTAAGAAATATTAATTAGATACGGCTGAATGTTTGCAACAATTATAGCAACAATCAGTTAGTTTCACTTTCATTCCATTCACTAAACTAGAGAAACATACTTTTATTTAACAGGTTAATTATTCAATAAAAATAAACATATTTTCGATGTAATTATCAAATTATCAAAAACAAATATCATTTAACCAGTATACCTAAATAACTCCTTAAATATAAACTGAATAAACTATTAATACCATTCAAAAGTAACAAAAAAAAATAAGTAGCTCTATTGACGTACCCCATATAGTAATTATTTATTCATTAAACTCACAAGTTATTCCAAGTTAGAATTTAAAAAGTTAGGTTATTTTTAGTTCTTTGTCTGCACACGCCAGCACACTACAATTCGAACACGACACTAATTAAACAATATCAAAAATCAATCGGCGATTAATTCGTGACACGAAAAAGCAGATGTGTTACGGTAAAACGTCCCCTGAAATTCGATAAAATTTCGGCGGTATACATTCTTTACGGTCGTCGAATTGAATGGAGAGTTTAGGGCTGGAAGGGAGAAAAGTAGATCAATAAATGAATTACATCGCCGTATACTTTACCCAGATGAACAGGCCGGGTATATGCTAGAATCCCGCATTACCTAAACGGTGTATCACTCTAATTGTTATCAATATCGTTTTAGCTACCTGCGTAGTGGATAAATGCAGGCTATTTTAGTTTACATGTACTAGTGTATGTAGATAGGTATTATAATGAAGGCGAAAACTAAATGGGGAAACTTTAGAAACGGTTTCTTCGAGAAAGATATTAGAAAATGCATGTATTGAACATTGGTTATATTCGTTGTAATTGTCTTCAACTTATTATGTAATTTATTGACTGTTTTTAAAGTAATTAACTGTATAATAAAATTTTAGATGATTTGAAACGAATGGACGTATTTTGGCAACAAAAAGCGATAGAAATTTCTTGCTTGCAATGGTCATTGCGTAAATAAAATATTAGTCTTCCTATTTTTTTGAATAATAAAATTTTCCTACGCAATGTAGTTTATTAGAAATTTACGTTTTAGTTGCGTTTTACGCTTTCTCTTAGAATTTTTGACAAAAAAATTCATAATTAACTTTATAGCGAAAAATAGTATCTTCAATAAGGAAAAGTGGTCATTACATTTAAACCACTCAGTATAACATTATACAATATACAATACCATTATACAGGGTGTTCCTAAACATCGTGCACATACAGAAGGGGGTAATTCTTTGGTTTATTTCATGACTAAAAGAGCATATAAACATAGGTCGTCAAACGTTTCGTTATCGGTATACAGGGTGTTGAAATTTTAAAATTTTTCTTGTTTTTTCTTTAGAGCTCCTGCAATTTTTGAGATATTTAGCTCAAATATACACATTCTCCTGTACCTAATTGGTTTTGACACAACATGAATTTTCCAACGCCTATCTTGAAATCATTTTAAATTTTCTGCTACATGCAACCAAAAGCCTAATTTTAAGCTTATTTTGCAGACCAACTACTCTTTATCAACCAACAAAAAAATCCCTCCTCCGTGAAATACGTATTTCTAGAACAATTTCCTCTCCCACGTCTATCTCCTATATCTACCTAATTCGTTAATAAAAAACATCCGAACACATGTACACCGTACATACGTTACAGAACGCATCATCGTTGCCAAAAATAAGCGTTAGTTTTCAGTTTCTCCAAAAAAAAAAAACTTTCGCCATATACTTACTCGCAGCCGGTAGGCCTAAACTGGCGGCCTGGCTTGCCGCCGCCGACAGGGAGTTGGTGTAAACGGAGCCAGTGCCGGACGAGCTGGTCGTCGCTTGATACGAAGACGGCAGACTGGTAGCGGAGGACCGGCCGCCGCCGCCGCTACCCGCCCCCGAGGGTAGCATGCCGAACGTCATAGATGGATGGGCGGCGAGGCCAAAACCGCCCGCCGCCATGGCAAACAGGTTGGCCGCGGCGTCTCCGCGTGGCCAATACGCTAGAAAATTCAAATGCATACGTTCATTAGGTACTCAACGGTAGTATTCGAACGTTAAATACGGGGGCGAATCGAATATGAACCGGACTTTTCTTCTTAACGCTCCCTAGGTAAAGTGAGTAACATGACGTCTTCGTATATCATTAGAGTTTAGAGCCGATTGGACCTGTTAGTACCATCATGTCTGAGCAAGTGATGCACAGGTCTGTTGAGCATTTTTGTTAAATTTTTGTCGCAGGAGAGCGTAAAACCTGCCAAAATTTAGCGTCACGTTACTGCACAGTTCACTGAAAACATGCTTTCAAGCATCCATGTCTACGATGGGCAAAAAGAATGTGAAAATCTGAAGAAGCAGCAATGGGACAAGCCAAAATACGTCTTTCTGCTGGGAATTTCCTACTACGATTTTTTGAGACTGCAGAGGGAGATTGCTCATAGATTTTTCCCTTGAATGACATACAGTTAATGCAGTGCACTACTGCTAACTTTATAATGAAGTGAAGCTCGCTTGTCCACGAAAAATGCAGGAAAAGTCCATTCGAAGTCCGATTTTGCTCCATGACAACCTTCGGCCACGTACGCTGCATTCATTCAAGAAACCTTGGACAGAATGCATTGGAAAATACTCTAGAACAACCACCCTACAGTCCCGATATATCGCCATGTAACCATCACATGTTTAGGCCATTCAAAGAAGATCTAGGAGGTCATCAATTCAACGTCAACGAAGGTGCGGAAACGTTTGTGCGCAATTGGTTACAGACGTGACCAGATTCATCCTTTGATGAAAGGATTAAAAAACGTTCGATTCGGTGGGAAGACTGTCTTAATAAAAGAGATTACATAGAAAAATAATATGTAGGTATTCAAAGTTTTATTTACCAATTCTGGGAATTTACCAATAAAATGTCTAAAGCAAAAGTCCGTTATATGTATGTAATTGATTCGCCCTCGTATGTTACGCTTTACTGGCTCTGGTACTACCATCGGTTACGGAAATTATCTACCCTATTTGTAACAACGAAATGTGTTGGGGAGAAACCTCCCAATACTATTCATAATTTTGTTTTTTAGCAACATGTTTGTATTTCGTTACAGGATATTAAGTAATTTTAAAAAACGATAAGCAATTGCTATGTAAACATAAATTAATTTATAGCAGTAATACATCACCCTTTTTACGCGTTTTGTAAGCAACTGAAAAATATTGCTCATTCATATACCTAGGTACCTAATTCGTTATTCAACTTAAGTAGTCGTAAACAATTTCCTATCTTTATTACATACAAATAGCAGGAAATACAAATTTAAAAATTGCGATAATTACATGTAATTTTTCAGAAAACAATAAACACACGAATTTGTAATATTGATAAAGATATGTGTATCAACACAACAAAATTTGTATTGCTTTTTAGATAAGATAAAAATGAATGAGAAAAGTATTTTGATGTTGTACGGATTCGCTTAGAATCTCGACAACACTAGGCGAATCCGTTTAAAAGGGACTGGCAATATCGCATAATTCACACATAATTTTTCGTTGAAATGCTTAACAAACTTACCGCCAAAGAGATTAGCAGCTTCGAGAAGGGATGCATGATCTTGCGAATTCGATACTTTACTGGCATTTGAATTGACTTCATTGTTCTTCTCATTTTCTTTATCCATTTCCAGTTCAGGAAGCTGAAACAAAGCAAACGAGTTTTTGCTAAAGACTTACATATCTCAACTGTCTTTTGCAGGTTATCTTTATGAAATTGCAGTGAAATATTTTCCTTCATAACACATCAACATAATACATTTACCTCCTTTGTAATAATTAATTTCCAATTGATCACATAAATCGATAATTACATAAGTCGATTGAAGCATAGACTTTTACACCCTTTGTAGTTAAAATAATGAAGCGCTATTTCCAATAAAACCTCGGGCGTGTTGTGGGAATTTAATGTTATTAAAGGTATTATTTCGACTCCCTATTCGAGAAATAGCGAATAAGTTATATGATTATCGATTACAACGTACAATACACTGGCTTGTAGGTATTTACTTATAAACGAAGCAGGCATGGAATTAAATTAATCTTCAATAACTGATGACAGGGAAACACCAATACAAAAATAATGGCAATACCCAAATTAGAATAAGTGACAATCACATCTGCATGTTTATGAGAAATTCAAATACTAATGCAAATTTTTTTAATTAACTTGTATGTTTTATCCCATATACTATCGTGCACGAGGACACCGAGTATTAATTATGTAGACTAAAAATCGTTTACGTTGCAATATGTAATCGAATAGCGTTATGACGAGCGAGTGTTCCCTAGCTAAAGCCAAAAATCAATGAAGGCGCTTTTCGTGGCATCATAAAGACAATAGAGTCATCGTGCGTATAACAACCACGAAACTTTAATTTCAACTGCAACCCGTTTTAATTTACATTTAATTTTCTGGCAGCAAATAATAAGCGATGATTAATAAATTTATTCATTTGTAGGCGTGTACTCACCTACTAAACTAAACCTACATACATCGAAGTGTAAACCGAAAATTCCGACTTATTACTGATTAAAAATGGAATGAATCACACGTTAAATTAGCAGATTACATACTATGCATACACACTTTTTAACCGTTCGGATGCGATCTTATTCTTTGCGAATCTTACCTGTTGAAAAAACTTGTCTCTTTCGACAAAATTCCTGAATTCAGCCCATCGCGGTGATTTAATTCCTGCAACAAAATGCACTTCTTAGTATTGTTAGGTAAAAAAGGGAGGAGAAAAAATTTTAATTGGCCGCCTTCCAATCATTCACCGCCGCTCTACGCAAAGGTGTAAACAGCGTAGTCAGCCAAATTACATTGGGAAAATCTACTATAATGTTGAAAAAATCCCAAGTATTTACGTATTCTACCTATCGAATAATTCACTTATCATTTTTTTTTTCGACAATTTGGTAACATAGATTTTATCAGTTAAATTATTTAAATGGGAGGTTAATTTTAGGTTCAGCAACTTTAGTTTATTTATTGCCCATTGTTATAGTTAATAAAATTGTTCATTAATAATACAGTTGACAGATCAATGACATTGACAGATTGACAAAAAATAATGACATTGATAGATTAATAAAGAATTTTGCCTCCAATATGTGTGCTTGAAGTTTTATCCTATTGCGTATAAACTGAATTAAAATGATTACAATGAACTATTTTCATTATTTTTTCAAGACTTCAACTCATTCTAGAACATTAATTTTGGATTGTCCCAATTCCAGTACTCCCAAAAGTTAGACACTCCAAAGTTTTGACGTGACAAGAGAACTCCGCGCTTTGAAATTTAAAAGTTTAGCATCCACTATAACTTATTAGCGATTGTTTTACTATAAGCAAACGCAAATTGTATATTCTCTCATAGTGTATTGTTTTTAGTAAATTTTAATTGCTTTTTTCATGAATATCACGGAGATATTTTCGAACCAAGTGTCATTACTGTCAACTTTCCAAAGAACGACCTACTGTGACTAATCTCGAAAGTATAATCCCTACCTGTCATTTCTATAGTTTTACAATCCATTATTTTATTTTTACTAAAAGGCCCTTCGAAATCCTTCTTTTTTCATTCTTTTTAATACGACAGGGATAAAGAACAGACGGAGCGGGGAACAGCGGGGAAGCGGCACACATGTCGTTTGATCCTACCGGAAAAAACGTAGGCGCGCCAGTGAATAATTATCATAATATTATGTGTTTATAGGTTAGGATTACCGGTCCTAATGAACAGCAATACAATTCGCTGCATTTACGAGTCATTCAGCGAACAAAAATCCTAATAAATGTACACACTTTTGATGCGTGCTATTTCTGTCGATTGAGTTAAATTACCAATTACCGACTTTCTAATTTCATGAATGGAAACACCGATTATATTACGAATTACGAATGCTCGACGGATCGGCGGATTAGTCACCCTGTAGAGTCCGGTAATTAAGCGAGCCAGTTACAGGAGGGTAGAAGAAGAAATAAGTAAGTAATGAGCGCAATTAAAGAAATGCAGAAAATTGTATTTGCCGTTACATAGCCATTCGAGAAACTCGGCATTGTTAGCGCATACATATGTACGTTTAAACAACAATACGTTTCTTAGATGTGTTAGGTCAATGGCCAGGTAGGAGGTCCGAAATCTCTAAACTGAGCAAGTAAGTGATAAAAGAAGAATCGGCGAGGATTCTTTGCAACGATCAAAGTAGGCGATGTACAACAACACATTAAAGTTAAGTTAGTAAAGCGAATTTGAATGGAAAGTAGCGAGTAGCGAGTACGATAATAACAAAAGGATACCATTTACCTTATAGCGGATGCACACTTAATCCGGCGGGGTAAAAACGAGTAGTCACACACAAGATCACAAATTTGTAACACATAAAAACGAAACCGCGACCGTTCGAGAATACCATGAGACTCGATAATAAAACGATTGAAACCGATTGAAATGTATAGGAAGCGATGCAAACGAGCTGGCGACCGTCCCGTTTAGCGAGGAACAAGGCGAATCGTTTGCGCGATTTCGGTATCGCCGATTAATTCGACGGATCCGAAGACAAGAACAGCGCTTCCCCGTCACAAGATGGCCGGACCTGGCTTGGTGTCAGTCCGATTGCTTTGCCAACCCCTCCTCCCGCCGTGCACGGAGCCCCCCGTAAACGACCCGAACTCAAACCTTTCATTCTCGCTTTTCTGGCTCTCTCGCCGCTCACCGTTCACCGTCGTCGTCGTCTGCTCTGCTCTGCCTCTGCGTGCAGTTACATCGAGGCCGGATGCACACTGTAAAAATTTCTTTGATTACTCATTTTTCGGCGTGTTTTTGCCGACGCCGGGAGTACTGGCGTTTTCTTGTCGTTGCGATTCGGTTGCCGGTGTATTTTTCGATTGTGGTGGAGGCGGCGGGGACAGGGGCAGGGGCGTCGCGCCTTCTACTGCACAGGTAATTTCGTTAATTAATTCGTTGGTAATTTGTTTGTTCGGTTTGTTTTATTTTTGGTTTTGGTGAGGTGGGTTTATTTTGTGACCGAGTACGGCCAAAATACTATAACTGGGTCGATCGATTCGTTTTCCCGTCGGATTTGCGATTTGCGATTTGCGAAGAAAATCATTTCGGTTTTATTAGGTTTTTAAATAATGCGTAGTATTTTAGGTATCGCTTAGGTTTCTAAAAAATGTAGGTTTGTATACGCAACATTAAATCATAGTAGAATACAGAGTGTTAATTGAGTGCCGATACTTCAGGATGTGAATATTTGGATGATTTTAAGAAGAAAAAGTTAATATCAACATATGCCTTAAACCTCTTTTAAAATCATTGTATACAAAATACATGTATATGCATGAAGACTAATTCGAAAAATCCACTCCATTCACTAATAACATACTTCTCTACAAATCAGCTTTAGAGCGTTTTCACATGGTTAATTAATTGCTGATACTTCAGAATGTGAATATTTAGATGATTTTAAGAAAAAAAGTTTATATCAATATATGTCCTAAACCTCTTACTTTTCTAGCTAGAGGGTGTTACAATTAAAAAAAAAACTTTTCTATCATAACTTTTTTATTACTCCAGTTATTTTTATGAAATATTCCACACAAAATTTTTTCGTCCGTGCAGGTTTTGAACTAAATATGTTTCAAGAAAAAATGGTACGCCACTGCTTTTTCCAAAAACTGCTAATAATTTTAAAATCTTCATTTATTTTGGAGCAAATTCGGTCCGAAGACTTACTTTTGTAAAGACGCACAATTTTCGCGTAAAAAAATAAAAACCAAAACAATTTTTCGCCAAGTTTATCGTTGAGACGTTGCTTTTGATATTTTGTTGAAATTTGGTAGGCACTCGCCATACATGGAAACACTTTTTTTTTTGGGAAACAAAAATTAATTTTCTACTATTACCAGTGACGTCCATATCCGAAATTTTATAAAAATATCTGGAGTAATAAGAAAATTACGACAAAAAAGTTACTTTTTTGAAACTGTAACACCCTGTAGATCGAACACTAAGAGGTCTAGGACATATGTTGATATAAACTTTTCTTCTTAAAACCATCCAAATATTCACATCCTGTATTGGCACTCAATTAATTACCCCACTGTGTACGCTCAAATTTGTCTCTTTTTTATTTATTTATTTACTTTGTAAGTAATAAAAAAATGTTAATTAAATCAAACTTGCAAGTTGTTATACATTCTACATTATACAGTGTGCAGCAAATTTGTGTGGAGCAAATTTATACATTTTTAAATAGAACAATATCCTGTTTTTTATTCAAAAATTGAATTTAGCTCGTCTTGAGCTTTCCAATAGTATAATATTGTACAATTTTATACCGAGTGGATTAAAAGTTTATGACAGCTTCCCCATGAAAATTGTATTAAGATTATTACCACTCTGTAGAAACTAAATGGAAAATTGAAAATAACTTACAGCCTTCATAATTTTGCAAAAATCGTGAAAATGTATAAAATGATTACTTTTCGTAAATTTTATGCCATACTGTTTACAAGATGAGTCCAAACGTAACATTTGTCCAAAAGTAACATTTTGCATGTTATTTTAAATGGATCACCCTATATATTTTATAACGGTGTCGGTCTAGTGTGCGGTCTACAATAATATGAGCGATCTACCTACCTCAACATCACGGCCGTATATTATTTTGAAGGTCTGGAAACTCTGATTTTATTTTGTATTAGAGGAAGTGTTGCTTATTTTGACCTTGGTTCGAGGGTTCACGGAAAATCCGCTAGGAACGCTAGTGTTGGGTAGGGCTCTTAATGAGCCCTAAAAAATGATATTTGGAAGGCTAAATAGTGGAATGAATGGAAATTAGCGTTATGTGCGTCTGATTAAACAACCTACCCGATACTAACGCCCTCTGTCGAGAGTCACACCATCCACAACACATTTTCAACAGAAGTTGCCCGACCTGGCTCTTATTATACGACCGTGACCTGCGGTCCTTAATTTTTGAAACAAACTGGAAAACATTAACATTTTTAGATAGAGAATGAAGAAACCTTTTAAACGATATATAACAAGCCTTTACTTCCCATTAAAAAAAATTAGGGTGGTAACTGTTATGAAATAATAAATAATGAATTTATTATAATGAAATAATGAATTTATTCCATTTCATTTGGCGTTTCTACCCTGTATAAGAATATCTGAAAAGGTCGTACTAATTAAAATTTGGAAATATAATTTAGTAACCTAGAAACATGAAGGGATTATTAACAAATCAACCTACCCTCAAGAAACTCTGGTAAATAGAGAGCTCCCATGGGAATCTCCCTGTATACTATTAACTCTTTTTTTAAAAGTAATAAATATTATGATTATTTAACACTCATCATAACTTCGTCGGCATTCATTACGTTTACTTAAATTTTTTATTCTAAATCAACTGTAATGTAAGGAATTATTTATTAGCCTCCAGGTAATTATACGTTCCTACAACAGAATAAAAAATGGGAGAAAGGGGGATTTAAATCTTGTTTCAAATACATTCTTCTTCATTCAAATACAGTGTTTTAAAAGCGCTTAATAAATTTAGGACAAATTTCTTTATTATGTTTCTTGTTTTTTTTATTTTATAATATTTTCTTTCATGTTTACCTTCTTCCAATGGTAATAAAAATCTTTCCTTTTATACATATTATTTTAGAATCATAAAATCATTTTGTGATCATTACAAATGCGTAGTTAGCAAATATTTAATTGCATTAATATTTAATCAACCGTAATGAAAAATTGTTTGTCGCAAGCACAAATTACCCCTATATTTGAATCCCCACGTCATTCATAGCTGAAAATCGATACAAATGAAAAAATCAATAGACTTAAATGCTCTTGCCGGAGAGAAATAAAAGTTTAGTAGTAGATTTTATGGATAATAGAATACATGCACATGTGTGTATTTTTTATATATTTTAAAATCGGCCCAGTTACAATATATAATGAGAGTAAGTATTTACATTTTTTTATTAGGTAGTAAACATATAAATTTAAAGTAACAAGTTAATGACTTTATTTACTTGTCTATTGTAAAAAACAAATTAATAAATTACCTAATTTTATATTTAAATCAAATTAATATAGGTAGTTGGCAATTACCGTGTCTAATATTGTCTTTTGACTAATTTAGTTCTAATTTAGTTAAAAAACTACTAATTAGTTCTTTTTGCGGATATTCCTAATTTAAAATTCACATTGTAACACTTCTGTAAAAATCACTTCCTGAATTTAAAATTAAATTACTTTTACCTGGCGAATCGGCATTTTCTTGTTAAAAGTTTTTAATGTCTTTTCGAAACTTTTAATAACGCGATTCATGAAGATTTCTAATGCAAAACAAGTTTTAAACTATCCAATTTGTAAATGTCCTAATTAACGCAATATTTTTTAAAAGAAGCAATTTTTGTTGCAGAGATTTTGTTCATTAAAATTTTATTTCTTTGCCCGATTCAATACAGGGTGTCCAGAAAATAGATGTCAATAATTCGGGAGCGTATAGATGACATCAAAATTAGGGTTTATCTGAATATAAGTTTTGTTAATTTGAGCGCCCATTTTTGAGCTTTAAAGTTGAAAATTTATAACTTATTTTTACGTTTTATTTCCAAGATATACATGGGAACAATATAAAATTTTTGTGGTTTATTACCTACACCTGGGTGCCCAAATTGGTGATAAAATTATTCCTACAATACTCTCTGGAAGACAGTGGCGGCGTGTTTCCAGTGATTAACTATTGGTAACTTTTATGGAGACAATCTGTATAAGGCAAACATATCGTAAATACATTCTTTAATCGATAAACTAACAAAAATGTACTCTTTTTGCAGTCGATAAAATTAACAGTTTTAGAGAACGGTTTCATCTATTTTCTTGACACCCTGTATACAATATAAAGTTAAAAGGATCGCTGACTGACCGATTAACGATTTTAGTCGCGCCTTAATCAAGTATTAAAAATCTTTTATCCTCCCTATTTCTAATTTTCCCGATTTTCCAGATGGCAAGGCCGATACTTGGTGAAAATTACAAGATTTTACAAACATTGCATGGCCACACAAGCGACGTAACATGCTGCGATTTCGCGTCAGCTTCCACCATAGTAACCGGCTCAAGGTATTTTTTAACTTTTAAACCTCTTATACACTCTGTACCTAATTACCCACAGCTCGGGACGAATAACCGAAACATCCAAGGCCACAAGCCCAACGATTTTTTTTTATTCCGTAAATTTTTTAGCGACAAAACAGTACGAATATGGGACTGGAAAGCGGGTTCGGGCTACGAAGAAAGGCAATCGTCGCCGTTGAAAGGACACAAATATCAAGTGACGTGCGTCAGGATATCTCCGCAAGGATCTTTGCTGGCCAGCGCCTCCGTCGATGGCACCGCCGTCCTGTGGAACGTTCACAATTGCTCTAAACTATACGCCATAACTCAGGTGAATGGCGATGCAATCAGAGTATGCAGGTAATTATGAAAATATGTTGCTGTAAAATACAACCCAAGATACAACTGTCTCGACAAAATAGCATCCACAAAAACGCCCAAGACAAAATAGCCCAAAGACAAATCACACATGACAAAATGGCCCAAAGACAAAATCACACAAGACGAAATATCCCAAAGACAAAATTACCCAAGACAAAATCAGACATGACCAAATATTCCAAAGACAAAATCACCCAAGACAAAATCACTTAAGAACAAATAGAACAAAGACAAAATCACACATGAACAAATATCCCAAAGAAAAAATCACCCAAGACAAAATAGCCCAAAGACAAAATCACACAAGACAGAATCACCCAAGACAAAATAGCCCAAAGACAGAATCACACAAGACGAAATATCCCAAAGACAAAATTACCCAAGACACTCAAGATAAAGTATCTTGATTAAAAAAATCACTCACGATAAAATAGCCCAAAGACAAAATCGCCCAAAAACAAAATAGCTTTTAGTAAAAGAATGATCACAAATCATGAATTTATCGAGCTATTTTTAGGACAATCAGTCGTTATTTTATATTCAGTCTAGGAAAATAATAAAAATCATTAAATAAATTCTATTTTTTATAGTAATAGCAATATAATGAGGGTAATAGAGTTGTACTTACCTACAACTCTATATTAATAATACATTATTGCATGCAGAGGTTTATAATGCAAATGGAAAAGTATTACTGCTTTAAATAAAATGAAAATTAATATAGTATACCATAAAATAGAACTGAATAAAAATGTCTTAAAAACTAAATTAAATAAATAATGCTTGCTTTTAATTTTTCCGGAACTGTTTTGTCTCGAACTATTTTGTCTTTGGACTATTTTGACGGGTCACGCTCTTATACAGGGTGTCCCAATGAAAAGTAGCCCCTTTAATGAGCTTATAATTTTTAAACGCCTAATCATAAAAACATGCGGTTTTCGCAGATATATTTTATTTTGCCAAAACTTTTTGTTACAGTGATACAAATATTGAAAATTAGAAGAGTATATCTTTCAAAATACCTCTATATATACGGGGTGTTCTATTTAAAAAAAATGGTTTATGTGAATTTAAAAGAGATTTTAATAAAACCCCCTGTATTGGTAATGCATAATTTATGTGTCACTTTAACAAAACTTATAATAAAATAAAACATATTTGAGAAAACCGCATGTTTTTATAATTAGGCGTTTAAAAATTATAAGCTCATTAAAGGGGCTACTTTTCATTGGGACACCCTGTACTGTAGCTTAATAATGAATCGGTTGCCGTAGGTTTTCACCGGACAGTACCGTCTTGATCACAGCCGGAGATAACGGTGCAATTTGCGTGTGGGACTTGGTGCACAGAAGTTTAATCAAGTACGAATTTTTCCAACCCTCTTTAAACAATTCAAAAGCCTAAATCCTTTCCAGGACGATATTCGACCACGAGGGCACCACCCAATCTTTAGCGTTCACGCCGGATTCCTATTACCTAGTGTCCGCTTGCTCGTTGGAAATGATCATGGTTTGGAGCACCGAGCACTTGGTGGACACCACCTCGGAGGCGAGCTGCGTTCCCGTTGCCAAAACGGACAACGCCTTGGACATGGGAGTGTTCTGCCTCGATATCAGCAAACATATCATCTTCAACGGTAAACCCGACAAACCATCGAGTCTCGATCTGATCACCTCGCTGGGTTTTTTGCTTCTAGAAAACAACCCTCTCGTCAGACGATACCGGCTGGCGTCGTGCGGCAACAGCAACGAGATCAAAATATGGACCATAACGGCCAAATCGGTGGTGAAGCAGAAGTGCTCGGCGCTCAACGAGGTGACGCTGGAGCACTTTGACGTCTACGACGGGCACACGTCGTCGGTGACCTGCCTGCGGTACACCAACAACGGCGACTATTTGGTGTCGACGAGCGTGGATAAGCTGGTGAAAGTGTGGGACGGCGAGGGGAATTGCGTCGCTTCACTGCAGGGCCACACCAGGTACATCAATTGCGTGGCCGTCTCCAAAGATCAATCTCTCATCATCTCTGGTAAGCTGGTAGATATGGAGTGATATGATTAAAAGGAGTATTTGCTTGTACTTACAAGTAAGAGCTTTTACTTCCTAGTATTTTGTGGAGAATAATCTTTGGCATGAAGTAAATTCTTCGATTGGAAGTGTTTACTTTGGTTAGAAGTATAAACTAGTAGTAAATACTAAAACTAATACGAAGACGCTTCCTGGCTATGATGCATACATAGACGTGAATGTTCCTTTAAGAACTGCATGTAGCCTGAGCATTAATACTACAAAATCCTTTGCAGTTGAAATATTCGTGAAGTTTTAGTTTTATTATTCTAATATCTTTATCTAACATCGTTAGCTAATTTGATTGCTTGTGAATTTTGAAGAATAGAAATCCAATCATTTTTCTTCGACACAATTTTTACATGTTTACCTTCTTTAATTACCTTTGACTTGGTTGTTTGATGTATCCCGATATCTACACCAACTCTCAGTATGACTTCCCAAAAATTCTTTAGATTGGCTACCCGTTTAACATTGTTTGGATTAAAGCTAAAAGCACAGTTCCTGATAGTGGAATGTTACCTAAAATAATATTCTATATTCTGCCTCTTCATACGTTCTAAATTCACATATTTCCCTAATTTTTTTACCATAATTCACAAAAATGCCATTTTTAACACCTTTTTAGGTGAAGTACTTGATAATAAGTTACTCTCTCATCAGCTTCTTAAAAACTACACCAAACAATCCATAATGGAACCACAGCTTATTCACTATAACTTATAATACTATGAAGTAATTGCTCCTAGTACTTACCTTAGTATAACTTTAAGAATTATGCGGAATAAATGCTATAATTTTTTGAAGCAAAAACTACGAAATTAAGCTTTTACTTGAAGTACAACAAAGCAAATACTCCTTTTAATCATACCACTCATCGATACGAGACGCGATTTTTTTTAATGTTTTATTAGGTTCTAACGACAAGAGCATTATAGTTTGGGACATGACTGGAAATCTCACTGTAGATTCCGAGTTGAATCAGTTTAATTTTCATGGGACCGATCAAGCTACAGAGAACCACTTGATAGAGAACAATAACGATAATGCAAACATGGTTACACTTTTAGAAAAAGTAGATGATATAGCCGAAGGTACGATAAATAGTTGTTGTTTTTATGGAAAAGACCTACTAGCTATTGGTTCTGGGCAAGTATAATTAATATTTTTTTTATTTCACATTAAGTATCAGCTTTTATAGTAATTAGAATAGGATGATATTCGGCTAGCACAAGTATTCTAAATATTGCATGTCTCTTGACAATTTCTTTATTTCCCAGGGATAAGATAATCCACATATTTAAAGTAAACAACGAAACTAGCGGAATCGAAGAAGTAAACTTTTCACCGTTAGAAGGCCATACGTTCGTTATAAATCACGTAGAATTTTCGAACGATGGCAAAATGCTAGTGTCTTGTTCGTTAGACGGTTGCACTGTAATATGGGATGCAATGGTAAGATTCGCGTATCCAGCTTAATCCCGGCACATTTTTCAGCACCTTAGTTACATATTAATGTGGATATATAAAGGGCTTTGCGATTCATCACTGCAATTTATTGTGGATATGCTTAGTTCAATAGATATGCGTACTTGACTAATGCATAGACACAGTTGGTGCAAAACTAATATCAATGCACGTCACTTTTAATTTAGTACGTCACAAGTAGGCAGCGTTGCCGAACTTTTATAGAGTTTCCAAAAACTAAAAGAATTTTCTAAAATTGTCAAATGGCAAAATGACAAGAACAAATTGAAAATTAGGGGTAACTACCTGTTTCACGTTTCTAAACGGCGGACGTATTCAGGGACTCACTGTAATTAATCATCAAATTTCTTTTTTATCTGAAATATATTTAACAGTGCTAGTAAAAAATTTAGTGTACAATTGACCCTTAAGAGAGTACTTAGAGAAATTTCTAAGAAAACTTCTGAATCTAAATCATTTAGAGCTCAAATTGTGTCGTTTCTAACATCTGAAAAAGATTACGCAATAAATTCTAATTCGGCTTAATAGCCTTCAGCAGTTGAGGCCAGTTAATTAGAAAAAAAAGAAGAATAATTTGAAAATTAAAATCAGATGACAACGGCAACTATGCAACTTGACAGTCAGTGCCTACAACCTACTATAAGAAAATAATAATAATTTTGTATACAAACGTTGAGTTTTGACAATTATACAGGTTGCTCCATTGTTCATTGCAACATAGGCTGTGGGTGCAACAAAGACAACTTCAAATAGACACTTTTATAAAGAAAAAAGAAAGAGTGATATTATGTCATTGCAGCCTTACACTCTGACCACTGTTATTTTATTAATCTTTCTTTGTTCAACTGATAGAAATGCCCTTGTTGCAACCGCGAAAGAAGCAAGGTGTATATTTAACATTTTTTACCATCCCTTGTTAATATTAAATTAAATTCTGCAGGTATTAAGCTTAATCTATTTTGTGTAATTATTTTTAGAAGTTTGACAGAATGCTTGGCAAGTATGACGACAGTAGTGACGTGCATTGATATTTGTTTTGTACCAACTGTATACTCTCTTTGAAGCTTCTGGTTTTTTTTTGTCTTCTCTCTTTAGATGTATGTTTTTTTTCCTGTTAGGATCAATACAAATTTCCCTTTGTCAATTTCTAAAATGCTCTTGCACTCATCATTCTCTCATAGAATCATAGAGATATTTCTTAGTAGATGAAGTGAATTTTGAATGCATGTTTTCTCAAGCTACAGCTTGCTCCCGTACTCTATTCGTGATTCTTATGACTCCAGCAATTCTTCGTCAATAATCTCCAGTTTACACGATTTTTTTCTAGACGGGAGAAAAATTGAAACTACTGCCAAAAAATGCCTTATCCATAAAATCATCTCGTTTCACGCCGGATAATAAGATGTTAATAACCGCCGGCGACGATGAGAAAGCCGTCGTGTGGGACATAAACACGGGAGAAAAAATAACGTAAGCACTAACTAATCCCATTCCTGATGTTTTTTTTTGATCGAATCCATCGCTTTTAGAACGTTCGAAGGACACCTGGACGCCATCCCCGCCGTCGGCGTCTCGCCCGATGGGATCCTCTGCGTGACGGTTTCCTCGAACGCGGATTTCAGAGTGTGGTCACTACAAACGCACGCGTGCCTCTACGTCAAAGAAGACGCCCACGAATACGGCATCCAAGACTGTGATATATCCCATAACCTAGAACCCGTTCCTAATCTAACCGTTAGTGCCCAAACCTATCTGTTAGCCACCTGCGGCAACGATAGTTTAGTGAAATTATGGAGGATTTCCGTCCCTAATGTAAGTCGAACGTTTCGTTTTCGCGCTCGATCCGGTTTAATGTCGGTAGTTTTCCAGAAATGCGATACGTCTTCTACGGAAGAGGTGGAGGTGAAATTGTGGCGATCGCTGCAAGGGCACGGGGGCAACGTGATTTGCGTGCGATTTTCGCAAGTCGCCAGCGAGTTCGTGTGCTCTACGGCGACCGATAGACAAGCCAGAATTTGGTCGGTTTACAGCGCCGCCTGTTTGTTCGTTTTGGACCACGATTCGATAGTGACATCCTGTTATTTCAACGCCGATTGCTCGCTTCTGGCCACCGGTTGCTTGGACAAAACCTTGTGGCTGTGGAAACTACCGCAGCAATTGGTAACAGACCATCAATGATAATCATAGACCTATTAACTATGGATGCGGTTTAGACAAAAAGGTAGCGTTGTCGAGGAATGAGAGAGATGCAGCTAGTTTGGGCATATGGCAATGAGAGATTGGACATTGCATTAGCCAATAGTAAGAAAGCAAAAGACCATGTGAGTTACGTTTTCAGATATGCAAGGTAGCTGTGGTAGAGGAGGGTAACATATGGTAGAATAGGGTTGAGGAGTGCAGCGGAGGGTATTGTGATTTATTATTTTTTTGCCGAGCAAAATGCATTTTTCAGCTGAGCCTAAATTCCCACGCATTTGCAAATACAGTTTTTATTTTGTATTGTTAATAGGAACATCCTACCTATTAGCCAGTACAGATTTCGCAATTTAAGACCTAACTGCTTTCTCTTGTAAAAAATATGTTTTTTCCTGGTCATTCTTCTGTCCAAGTGGATACCAAGATAAAAAATATTTAAATATTAAGCGTATTAATAATTTAACAGATTAATAGCCTTTTTTCACGCACCCTGTATATATTTTATATTTTTTTTGGTCCTGTATTACTTTTAGCCCAAACTAGCTCCATCTATCACGGACCTCTCTCTCTATCATTGGGAACGCTGAATAACCTCAAAATAACGATTGTGCCGCGTCCATACTTAATAGGTCTATGATGATAATGTAATATTAGAGGTTTGTTCCAGCAGTATGTTTTGTGTTGTTACGAACATTGTGAGCATGCGCAATGATTTTAAAACGTTCCAGCAACGTGTTATTTGGTGTTCTGAGTAAATGTTTGCTGTTCCGGCAGAATTCGTTTTTTGTTTGGATCATATTTGAGATCTACCAAACTGTTTTCGTTTGAAGTGAGAACATTTAAAACAATTCGAAAATAAGTATGGTTATATTAGTTTATTGTTGATCATAAATATTTGTTTAGTTACAATTTAGTTTTAAAATATGGAAATTATTGACTTATTTGGAGCTATTGGCGAAAGTAGTTATGATGAATAATCGGAAGACGATTTTGAAGAATTGTTGGAAGAAGCGCAGAGGCCAAAAAATAAAAATTATATCGAGGAAACCGTTCTTCAATATTCGAAAAATGAATTTAAAGAACATTTCCGTATTACAGAATACCCAACAACTGCTCGAGGTGTTCCAGCAAGAAATGTTCCAATCTTATAACGAACTTGTATACATCAGGGCATGCGCAATACAATACTGATACAAACATAATTTGAACATGCTGCTTGAACAAACCTATTAATTGGGGAATAGGGTAGGGTAGGGAGTAGAGCAGGGAGTAGAGTTGGGAGTAGAGTAGGGAGTAGATTAGGCAGTAGAGTAGGGAGTAGAGTAAGGAGTAGAGTCGGGGGTAGAGTAGGGATTATTTAAGGGAGTAGGCTAGAGGATATGGTATTAACAATGAATAAAATTAATAGACGTTCGATAAATCTAATGAATGCTCAATATACAATTTACATGATTCTTAAAAGTTGGGTAGGGGGTAGTGTGAGAGGGTAGGGTAGGGAGTATAATACTGAGTAGGGTAAAAGTTAGGGTAGAGTATTGTGTATATACAGGGTGTTCGTAAGTATTGTGCACGTCTGAAAGGGGGTAATTCTTTGGCTTATTTCATGACTAAAAGTTCATATGAACATAGGTCCGCAAACACCTCGTTACCAATCTACAGGGTTTTGAAATTTCAAGATTTTTTTGTTTTTTCTTTATAGCTCCTGCACTTTTTGAGATATTTAGCTCAAATTTGGTATATGATATAGGGTATAGGGTATAATTGAGTAGGATGGGGCCACAAATTTGGAATCTAAGTTATAGGGAATACATTATAGGGGTATGTCACATGGTTGTTGAATTATACAGGCTGATATTTTTTCAGGAGTCATGTTTCCTTTTCTCCCACCGAACTTTTTTACTGTGCGCCGCTGGTAGATTCGAAAATACAAAATGAATTGTCTGTTTTGTTTAGAAATTTTTTTGTTTTTTAACTTTTTTTGTTACTGTAACCGTTATCGAGAAAAAAATTTAAAAACGACTTTCTGTACAAATGATTTAATTTACAATACAAAAATACTAAATAATAATTATTAAACTACATTATAAAAAATATTGAAAGTGGCCCCATCCTACTCAATTATACCCTATACCCTATATCATATACCAAATTTGAGCTAAATATCTCAAAAACTGCAGGAGCTCTAATAAAAACAAAAAAATCTTGAAATTATTTCAAAACCCTGTAGATTGGTAACGAAGCGTTTGCTGACCTATAATGTTTATATGAACTTTTAGTCATAAAATAAGCCAAAGAATCACCTCCTTTAGGATATGCACGATATTTATTCAATAGTAGGTAAACGTAGATTATCATCAAGCATTTATACAGGGTAAGTCATGAAACACTGTACATATTTTTACAGTGTATATTGGCACTTAAGGGGACTTAAGGACACTAGAAAATATCAAACAACCATTAAAAGTTAAATCAACCTCTTCTTTAACTTTCTAACGCTCAATTACTGAATAAAACTCGTTGCATCGCAGGTATTCCAATCGGTGGTGGCCGACAAAGTGCAGTACAAGTCGAAGCAAGTCATCAATTGGACCAGCTCGGACGTCATAAAATGGCTGAGGAGCATCGAAATGCCGGAGCTGGCGCCTTGGATAACGAGCTGCCGTCTCGACGGCAAGAAGCTGCTGACCGTTCCCGAGACGCAGATATGCGCCGGCCTGGAATTGGACGAGGAGCACGAGGAGAGATTCGTCAGGGAAATCCGGTGGCTGAAGAGCGGCGAGTTGCGCATGGAGGCGGCCAATTATATGGATATACCGGACGAGTTTCTGTGTCCGATAACGCGCGAGATAATGAGAGAGCCGGTGACGTGCAGCGACGGGCACACGTACGAAAGGAACGCGATCACGGAGTGGTTCATGTCCGGAAAGGACACCAGCCCGATGACCAACGAGAAATTGACCGATACCGATGTCGTTAAGAACGTGAAATTGAGATCGGAGATATACGATTTTCTGGAAATGGATGGTTCCAAAGAGGAAGCTTAAGAGCTGGTTTTTATTTAGCACTTTGGGCACGATTGTGATAGAAATTCAAGTTTGCAAATTCGACCTTTTCTACTGTTCAAACTGAATGACTGATCAAAATTATTATCGATGATCTAGTGAATATTAAAATTCCGCTAGATGTTACGATACAATGATAGCAATGTAATATCAGTTTATATGTAATTTTGGGACGTTTTTATTAATAGATAGAACTGAAATGATAAATTAATTTTTATCGTTATTCAGTCTTCCGTCCATTGTCAAAGAGGTATCTACAATTAGACATCGATGCAAGTAAAATGATTTAAATTCAAAATATTAATCAAAAAAGTTCTTTTTAAGAAGAAAAAATAATTAATTATCTACTAAACTAACTGATAATACCTAATATAAAAAATTCAGAATTTTCTCTAAATTACTTCATTACATAATGAAGTTTTACAGGGTGTTAATGGTATTAGAAAACGCTAGCCTGAACTATAAATTATGGAAATTAGTTCATCAACTAAATTATAAACACCCTGTATACTATTAAAGTGCCATTTATTCTACACACAGTGTGACAATTTAAAAACTTACAACGGGTTATATCTCACAAACGAAGATTCATATTATTTACTACACATGGTGTCCAAAAATAGATGTCAATTATTCGGGAGCGTATAGATGACATCAAAATAAGGCTATAACTTCATATAAATTTTATTAATTTAAGCCCCTATTTTTGAGCTAGAGGCCTTTGAAGTTGAAAAATTAAAAATATTTTTTTACATTACACTCTGGATCACAGTGGCGACGTGTTCCCAGTGATTAACAATTTGTAACTTTTAGAGGGACAATCTGTATAACGCAAACAAATCTAATATTTTTTTGTAAGCTTTTTAATGAGGTATCACAAGTAGGGCTTTGCTATTTTTTTAATTGGAGTATATGGGGTGTTGATGGGGGTCAGTTCTCTTTTATGTCATTTTAGTCTCCCCTTCACATCCTTGAAACGGTTTTAGTTATTGATATGATCTTTCGTTTGTAAGATATATCCATTATAAGTTTTTAAATTGTCACACTGTATATAATTATTTACAAACACAAATGCAATTGAATTTTAGCACTTATTTTCAAAGATTTTACCGAATGAAGTACATTTGTATATTTCACGTTTTTATATATTTAAAAATGTTTTGTAAAGTGACAGTTTATTATACACTCGCACTTATATTATTCTTCATACTCGATAGAAAATTTTCAACGATTTTAGCAACAAGCCGTCACATTTACAATTAAATACGAAATGAATTAAAAAATAATAATTAATATTCACACAATTAATAAATCAAAACAATAATTCTTGTAAAAATTCTTCATAGTGCCTAAACATAAGTGAGATGTATGCAATTAATGCAATAAAATCTTTGTGTTACCTTTAAGTAAATATTATATTTGAATTTTTTATTCGTCTTATTTTTACTCATTTTTTGTGTCTTATTTCATTAATTTTCCGTAAAAATTAATTATTGAATAATTAAATTTAGGGAACAATCTATCAAAGGGAACATTTATAAAAACTTTGTCTCAACATAATTTTACTTTTATTATTAACTAAGTACAAAATAATTTAAGAAAAAAACAATATCACAATACCAATAGGAACGCAATGAAATTTTCACATAACTTCTACTCTATTGTACAATATAATTTTCTAGCAAGAAAGTTACAATTTTAATACTTTTCTATTGTATATCTTCACAATATAATATACCTCGCATCGGTAACAATTAAATAACATGAATATTACATAATGCACATATTTGCTTCACTCTGTCACAGCCTCTTTTGGGTAGGTAAATGTAAAATGCTGCTGAAATCATTTAGCATTTTTACTAAAATAATTCAATGTTTGATAGAGGAAAGCGAGCTACATAATATTATGTAGGTATCTGATATATTTCATTTAAAAAACAATTACAGACTCGAATTAGTATCTACGAATAATTGCTTGATAGGGAAGACAAAAAAGAATTTAATTTTGTTCATAAAAATATTTCAAGAAGATTGTTGAAAATATGCCCGGAATTTCCAACGTAATTTTTTAATAGACATTTAATTGCGTTATAGGATATAACATTAAGTATCAAGTGAAATTATAATGCATAAAAATGATGCATTCAAAATAGTTGTATACCTATATAAACTATATCATAAATTTAACTCTGATAAAATTATCATCAATTTTCAACGAGAATAAAGGACTATATTCTACTAATTAACACTATTTACAGAAATATCTACAATATACTTATAAATACAATCAAGACGGAATAAATTAAAAAAAATAAGTATCTATTTGATTGCCTTCAAAATAAGTTAAAAACAATTTCTGGAACGTAAAAAATAACTACAATAACATCATATTTGCGACTGGTCCTTTTTTATATGATCCTCTTCAAAATAAAATTTTTATCATAAATATACTCTATTCAATTTATATTGATAACAGTTCTTTAATATTCATCAATTTAATCCTAATAAACAGCACATCATAAGTGAATTCACGCCATCAAATAGCTGCAAAGCCTCGTTACTTTTTAAACTTTAAAAATATCAACTTTTGTGGTGTCTATAGAAATATAAGAAGGGGAAATAATGATAAATTTCCAAGAAAAACATGAATTAGCAATAACACATCTTATATCTTTCCTTAACATTTAGTGCATTAACAATACACCCATATAATAATGTAAATAGTATTCTTAAAGATTCTCAAAAGCAGTCTAAGTATTCCTACCATTGAACTTCCCCAACTTTTTAGGATATTGACACTTACTTTTTGCTTCTTTCTATTCTTCATTTACATCTATGGAAGCAATATACATATACCTAATCGTTCCAGAAGATACGAATTAATAACAAATCTCCAGTTTATATCTTCTCCAGCATCGGTAAATTTATCACGTCTGGAATTTCCACGTCCTCCAAGCAAATAGGAGACGGATTGAAAGAGAAGCGCACGGTGTACGTATATTTAACATCCATAAGCAGAGTCTGAAACAATTAATAAAAAACCGATTTGCAGACGCAAACAATGCCGAGAATGAAAGTTGGCTCACCTGCGAACTAGTATCAGGCCGTTCGTTCAGCTTCTGCTGCACTTGCTTTATGAAGTTGGCGGGCAGCCGTTGCTCGAACTCCTCGACGGGCGTGTACATGTTCAGTATCTTGCAGATCTGCAGGGGCGTCAGTGCGCTGCACATGTCGCATATGCTGTTCACATCCTCCGAGTATTTCCTGGCTTGCAGCAGATGGGCCGCTTGGATGATCGGCTGGAGGGTTTCTTGGATAGCGCGTTCCTGCGATCACATTCGTACTATAACATTCTTAGAAATATTGTGGAAGAATACGTACATCTAGAGTTTTATCTCTCGTCCACATTTCGAAATGGGACAGGTTGTGCCGAATTTGGCAGCCTTTGTTCCAGTGGCAGAGCTCCTTTCTCAGCAGTAAGTTGTTCAAGCTGGTGGCGCAAATGAAGTAGTACATTTGGTTGAATATTTGCGATATCAGTTCCTGATCCACTCCGTAATAGCCCAACATCTGCGCATATCGGTATGTATTATAATCGTGTTTTTTAACTTACCCAATTCAGCTTGAAAAATCGCATAAGATGCGCCAAAGGGGAAGAGTTAACGATGTTAAAGAAAAATACAGGGTATTAATTGAGTGCCGATACTTCAGGATGTGAATATTTTGTTGATTTAAAAAAGAAAAGATTATATCAATATAAGTTCTAAACCTCTCAGTTTTCGAGCTACAGGGTGTTACAGTTAAAAAAAAATACTTTTCTGTCATCATTTTCTTATTACCTACAACAGATATTTTTATTGATAGATATTGAACTTGGTAAAGAATTGTTTTGGTTTTTATTTTTACACGCGAAAATGGTGCGTCGTACGAAAGTAAGTCTTCGAACCCAATTTGCTCCAAAACGAGAATTTAAAAAATAATTTTGGTTTTTAGGAAAAGCAGTGGCGTACCATTTTTTCTTTCAATATATCGGTTGCTTCAATTCAGACCGCAACATGGTCTTTTCTATGAGTTGAACAAAGAAAGATTAATAAAATAACAGTTGTCAGAGTGAAAAGTTGCAATGACACAAATGTCACTCTTTCTTTTTCCTTTCCTTTTCTCCAAAAGTGTAGCCCTGTAGCTCGAAAAATAAGAGGTTTAGGACATACATTGATATAAACTTTTCTTCTTAAAATCAACCAAATATTCACATCCAGAAGTATCGGCACTCAATTAACACCCTGTGCACATAGAGGCCTGTAATCAACACTTCTTTTTAAAAGTTAAAAACTCGAGTAAATATAGACGTTGTTCACGTTAAAAATACTCTCTTAATACCTAAGAACGAAGATTAAACATTTCTAATGGAAATATCCCCTCTAATCCTCCCCAGCAAATAAAATTTGCTAATGCTTATCCAACTAATAAAATATTCCAAGTGCCAAGCTACATTGGAAAAGTAATACTTGGCGTTCGATCGCCGGTGTTACCTTATAATGATTCGTCAATTCCTGCAGGAGAATCGTGGTAGGTTTGTGGCTACCGGTCGGGCTGCTCACGCTGGAAGAGCTGCCCAGCCTGTTCCTGAAGCCGCTAGGCTTGCCGCCGATCATTCCTTGTATCTCTTCGTGCTCCAGTATCGCTGGCACGATCAACGGTTGGATTTTCTCCTGGAAGTTCTTGATCATCCCTGAAACGAGCCAACGAGAAATTCGATGTTTTCGATTCGACGTTTCGATCTTACCGGAGTATATGCAAAGCGCGTTGTCGGCGAACAGTTGCCGATATTCGGATAAGTCGAAGTTTTTCAGGCACTGCTCGTTCTGCCGCTGGGTGTTTTGTATTTGGAACGCTTTGTCGCCGCTGTACTGCTTCATGGTGTTCACTAGCCTTCGGTTCAAATGGCAAGTATTAAGGATTTGCAATTATGGAAGAAATGATGGTTGTTTACCTGACTAAATTCGAGAGCCAAAGAGCGGTGGTTTCGAAATCCGCTATGCGTTTTTTGGTAACTTTCTTGAACGTATAAGTAAAGGAGCCCAAGAGCGTTTTGATCATGTCCTCGTCGTTTCTGTAATCCGCGTACCTTACGCACATGAAGACGATGTAAGCAGGCAGGCCGGGCAAAAGAGCGACCGCTATACGGGGTTTCAGATCTACGCGAAAAAAATACAAAATTAGCGATGTGTATTAGCGAGACTCGCTACGATTTTCTTACCGATTATAAGCTCCTTCATAATGGCGTTTTCGCAGCCCTTATTAAATGAAAACATCCCCAAGTATTCCTTCTCCCGTTTGGGTATGCTCGATAGATTCCTCTCGGGCAACACCAGAGCCACTTTCTGGTTGACCTTCCTCCTGGCCTCGTCCATGTAATTCTCGTCCAAATCGAAGCCAAGCTTCTTCAATCTGGCCATCAAAAACTTCTCTTTCTTCTTCAACTTCCCAACGGTTTCGTTGAGAGCGTCGAGTTTGTCGCGCAACTCGACGTTCTCCAGCGTTATCCTCTTGATTTCCAGCTGCATGTAGGCCTCGTTCTGCGTCTGGCCGGAGCCCAGCAGGTTCGCCGAGAGGACCTGCTGTTGTCGCTCCATGTCCTCCTGCAAGCGCTCGATTTCCGCTTTCAAATCGCGCTCGTAGGCCATGTACTTGGCCTTCTCGTCCTGCAGCTCGAGCTCGAGCAGCTTGTTGATGTTCTTCTGCGTTTCGTACGCTTGAGCGAGTTCACCGTCTTCGTTTATGTATTCACCTATAAGCGTAGAGTCAGGTTCGGCGGTTAATCGTGAAAAATAAAAAGTCGTAACGGGGGCAAAATAAAAATGTAAAAATAAAAAAGTGCGTCGGGTGTACCTGTGTGCGATCTGGAATTCAGAACGGTTTTGAGGTGTACGATTTCCTCGCTTCTGCGTTCTAGTTCGTTTTGAGCGGTCGCCAATTGTTCGTGCAATTTTATCGAGCCTTTTCCTACGAATAGAAATAATGTATAAAATTATCGATGCACCGGAATTCCGCGCCAAAATAATAATCCCTTTTTTGGGTCGCACATTATTCATCCCTTACCGGAATTCCACACCGAAAAATAGCAAAAGTTAATTGAGTACCCCTGAAAACTTGAATTTAATTTCTATAAACTAGGAAATTTGGAAATATGCGAATTTTAGTGACTTTCTGGGCATTGTTTTAGAAAGCATATCATTGCAGGGTAGAGTATATTAGAGTCGATTAAAGTTAAGAGTAGGGAGAATAGACTAGAGAGTAGAGAGAATAGAATAAAGAGTAGAAAGTAGAGAGTACAGGGTAGAGAGTAGAGGTAAGGATAATAGAGAGTAGAGTGAATATTATAGTGTAGAGAGTCTAGAACAGAGAATAGAGAGTAGAGGGAAAATGGATTGATTGATTGATCGAAATTGATTTCTCAGCTATAGAGAATAGAATAGAGAGCCTAGAACAGAGAATAAAGGGTAGAGAGTACAAATAATAGAAAATAGAGTTAAGAGTAGAGATAATAGAAAAGAGTGTACAGACTAGAGAATCAAGAGAATAGAGTAAAGAGTAAAGATAATAAAACATATTGTACAGATTAGAGGATAGAGAGTAGAGGAGAAAGTAGAGAGTAGAGAGAATTAAGTGAATAGAGAACTTAAAGCAGAGAATAGAGAGTTTTTGATAGGAGAATACAGGTTAAAGGGTAGAGAGTAGAGAGAAGTTTAGAGTGTAGAGAACAGTGTAGAAAACAGAGTACAAAGTGTAAAGTGGAGAGAGAGAAAAATAGAGAAAATAGAGTAGATTTAATTGAGTAGATAAGAAGAGAGTTTGAGAGAGAGAAAGAGAGAAATAGAGAGGGGAAAGTAGAGAGTAGAGAACAGAGAGAATAGAGTAGAGGGTACAGATTAGAGAATAGACGGTAAAGAGCAGAGATAATAAAGTACAAAGTAGAGATAATAGAGGAGTGTGTACAGGTTAGAGAGTAGAGAGTAGAGATAACAGAGTAGAGAGAATAATAGAATAGATAATAGAATAGAGAGTAGAGAGTAGAGATTAGAGTAAAGAGTAGATGGTAAAAAGCAGGGAGAATAAAGTAGAGAGACTAGAGTAAAGAACGGAGTAGAGAACAGTGTAGAGAACATAGTGAATAGAGTAAATAGTAGAGTAGAAAGTGGAGTAGAGTAATGTGGGGAATTCCAGCGTGGGATTAGAGTGTAGCATTCAGGTAACATATTTTTTAGTACGGAATATCAGTATCGGATTAGAATTCAGAAAAATTCGATGCGGAGTTCCCGAAATTATAATTCGTATAAGAGTTAATACGGTACCTTCTTTGATGCTATTTTGTAATTCGTACAATTGCGTTTTGAGCTGCGAATTGTGTATTTCCAATTCGGATATTCTGATCGAGTTCTCCGCCTCGGTTTTGGCCTTCTCCGCCTTCGGCGACGTGTTCAATTCGTCCAATCGCTTTTGCATGCGCTCCTTCTGCCGCTCCACCTCGGCCAGTTTGTGTTGGAGTTTGAGGACCAGCCCGACGTCGGCGGCGTTTTCGTTGTGCTGCGCGTTCGACTCGCCGGTGCTGGGAGTGTGGCTTTCGCTGGCGGCTAAATAGCGGATTTTTTAGAGCGAGAATTTCGATACGGCGCGACATTAGGCCGTATTTATAAAACTGAGGCATTTACTTTAAAGTAAAAGGTAGAAGCAAAAAGTAAGATAAAAAGGTCTTAAAACTTTAAACAAAGGTTTTAAAACCATAAAACCATTAAAACCTTTTTTTTTGGAAGCAAAAGGTTATGCTTCTTTTTATAAATACGGCTTATTGAGTGGTGTGATAAAAAGGAGTATTTGCTTGTACTTCAAGTGGAAGCTTAATTTTGTAATTTTTACTTTAAAAAATTATAGCTTTGACTCCACATAATTCTTAAAGTTAGACTTAAGCAACTACTAGGAGCAATTACTTCATACTTTGCTTTATTTATTTCGATATACAGGGTGGTCCGTAAGTAATGGCTCAAACTGAAATGGAAGATTCTCGACCTCAAAATATTTCGATCTGAGCCAAATTGCTTTAGTAAAATATTGAAAATAAAAAAGATACAGAGTGGCAAAGTTAAAATCCAAAAAAAATATTTTTCGCAGCAGTTTGAAAGATTGTGGACGTACGAAAGTGAAAATTTGAAGACAGGAGTTTTAATGCACGAAAAATCATAATATGATATCCTTTTTGATATATTTTTTATAGGGCGCCACATGAGCTTTGTCGTTGATGTAAATGTACGTCTAACTTTTTACACCTAAAGCTAACGTTTTTTTTTATTGAAAATACCTGTTGTTAGCCTCAAAAGTTACGAGTTTTCGCGATAATCGCATTTTAAGAACCACTACATAACTTATTTGTTACTAAATATATCATATTTTGATTTCCCATATCTTAATATACCTATCTTCAAATTTTATCGTTCGTTTTCCAAAATCTTTCAAACTGTTGCGAAAAATCATTTTATCCATTACAAATTGGACACGCTGTATCTTTTATGTTTTTAATATTTTATTAAAACAAGTTGGGTTAGATCGTAATATTTTGAGGCCGAGAATCTTCCCCGCCACGTCAGGTCATTACTTACGGACCACCTTGGAGACGCTAAAACTGTGACAATGGAGATGCTAAAACTGCAGTCAAAAACATGAAAAAGTTTTTCTTTGGTAAATAAAGAGGTTTAAAATCGACCAATCCCAGTAGCAGTTCAAATGCGAAAATGACGTGAATTAGCTATACACCAATTCAACATTATTGAAAGATTTTATGTCCTTTTAAACCTCTTTATAAACCTCTTTATTTACCAAGGGAAAAACTTTTTCATGTTTTTGGCTGCAGTTTTGGCATCTCCATTGTCGGTTTTACAAGGCCTTTTCGGGTGGGGCGTGAGTTCTGGGTCACCCTGTATAAGTTAATTCTACAGAAATAACTAATGTTATCTAGTATTTCCTCCATTTGGTAGTGTTTGGTGTAGTTTTTAAGAAGCTGATCACAGAGTAACATCTTATCAATTACTTCACCTAAAATGGTGTTAAAAATCGCATTTTTGTGAGTTATGGTAGGAATTGAAAAGTAAGGAAATATGTGAACGTAAGCAAATACTCCTTTTAAATATACCACTCATAGCTTACCTTCCACTTTCCAATCGACGTTGTCCAGTCGTTCTTTGGTCGAGCGGCTGCTCGCGTTCGATCTGACGGACCCGTAACCGAAGTCTTCTCCCACGTCGATGGTCAGTTGATCGTCCAAAGCCAGTTTTCCGTCGGCGTACAATTGGAGTTTCAATTCGTCGCAATACTGCTCTAACGTCTGGTACTCCCTGAGCAGCTTCTGGTACTGCTCCCGTTCGGTGTTGGCCTCGTTCATAATCAACAGTTTCTCGGCCTCCAGGCGGTTTTTCAAGTTCTCCTTGGAACCCTCCTCGCTGGTCTTCACTATTTCGTTCATATTTTCGACTTCTTGCCGCAGCCGGGCGGCGTTTTCCGCCCACTTTTCGCGCTCCTCCTCCGTTTCTTTCTTGAACCTGTCGTACTCGTTTACTAGGTCGATTTTATCCTCTCGTTCGGTTTTAACGTTGTCTTCTAATTTCTTCACTAATTGGCTCAACTCGTTGTTTTGGTTCTTTAGGGTTTTTATTTCGGTTTCCATTGAGCGGAACGATTGCATTTTCGCCCTAAAAATCACAAACATTTAAACACCCAAAGCAACGTTGCCAGGTATGAAAATTCGCTAGATCTAGCGATATTTCACCACTGCTTCATCGTGTCACACATTACTTCAATTCGACGACTTCGTTCTGATGAACTTTGAGCTCCGCGTTCGTCTTATTGAGCACTTGGATTTTCTGTTGCAGTTCGATGATTTTGTTCTCCAAGCCTTTGTTGAGTTTCTTGACGTGCTCGATCGAGCGGGCCTCGATTCGCAATTTCTTGTATTGCCTCCTCGCCAAGAATCTTCGTATGGCCGATTGACAGACGACGATATGCCTTATCATCTTCTTGTATTCCCTCCTGGCCAACCAACCGCGAACGTATTTTTGTATGACAATCGACTGGGAATAGTAAGAGTGATAAATTATACTACCTATTCTGGATTTAAAAAATTTTACTTACGGCTGCGTTGTATTTCAATTGGAGATATTTTATCCTGGCGAGTTTGCCTCTCGCGTAACGCTGTATACCCAGCACGCATTTTTTCAGTCTCTCGTATTGCACTCGCTTGATCCAGCCGCGGACGTGCCTTTGAATCACGATACTCGCCCGTTCCCTTCTTATATCCATAGCCAATCTGGAAATCCAAAGTAAAATAACCTGCCAGCCCGCTTACTCATTACATTAACATTACCGTCTAGCCAACACTCCTCTTCCATACCGCTGGATCAACAAGCAAGATCTCTTCGTTTTCAAGTACCGCTTTCGATGAATGAACATCCTCACGGTCTTCTGCATCAACACCACGCAAGCGATCAGCCTGTCGCTTCGCAGCTTCTCCAAGTAGGCCACCTGGCCCGGCTTGAAGAAGATCTTCGTCCTGCCGAACTGGTACGTGGAGCCGTCCTTGAGGAAGCGCCGCAGGATTATTTCGCAGGTGCCGTTCAGCCGCGTCGCGTCGATCTCCTGCGACTTGCACAGCACGCGGTACCTGCTGAAGAAGTCCGAGTAGTTCCAACGGCTGGGAAATCCGGCGGACGAGAGCCGGATGGTTTCCAGCACGCCGCAGGCTCTGAGCTGCTGCACCGCTCGCTTCGGGTTGAAGTCGAACGGGATTTTTTCGTCGTTGGGCTTTATGCATCTGACGTAGTGGGGTGTGGTGGCGTTTAAGGTGGTCATGAGAAGGTTCAGGGAGTCTCGGAACTGTCGATCATCATAAAATAATGTTATAGATTTTATGGAAAAGCATATAGTATACTTTAACTTTAAAGGATCTTTTAATAGATGTAATTGATTGCATAATCATCTTAAAAAATTCTTGATCAGAAATAAATTTGTCATAAGGGGTAAGGACACATTAGCTTCCTTTTGTTAAAGGTTACTTCAACGCTACATTATGAAATCGGTCCTAAATGTACGATGTTAAGCTGTTACCTGTGAGCAAACGCTTTGCTTGTGGGTCTTCTGCACAACGGTGGGAGCTTTGGCGGAGACGACTTTCAATTTGGTCCTGGGAGCGGGTTTGACGAAGCTTTCGGGTGTGAATAGCGCCCGCACTAATGGATTCCTGGTTCCTTTAATCACGTTTAATTGCTCCTCTACGACGGTGTCGCGGTTTTTCTCGAGGAAACTCTCGCTTTCGTACTGCACCTTATCCGCGAAATGGTTGACTACGAACGAGGAAGTGCCGAAGCGGGCTTTGGAGAAATGCGAATACTTGGAACATTTCGTGTAGAGTTTTTCCGTCCACGAAGAGTCCGAACCACCGGGCATCTAGAAATCATCAAAAAATGAAATATTTACATTAAAGTTTTACTTCAACCGACCTTACACTCCTCATCCAACAAATCCAAAATACCCAATTTAGCCTCGATTAAATCGATGCAAGGCTGATTGTCGTAGAACTCGATCATCTTCCATTCGATGCCCTCCTTGATGTACTCCTCCTGTTCCAGCTTGAACACGTGCAAATTGAACTGCTGCTGCAGCTTCTCGTTGGCGTAGTTGATGCAGAACTGCTCGAACGAGTTGACGTCGAACGTCTCGAAGCCGTAGATGTCGAGCACGCCGACGAACCGGTGTCGGGGCACCTCAGATTCCAGCATTCTGTTGATGATGAGGACGATCCAGTTGAAGAGCTCCGAGTACACGTGCTTGACGAGGGCGTCCCGCGCCCGCACGGCCGCCGCCACTGTCATCGGCTTCAGGAACACCTCGCGCATCGACACCAATTTCCTCGTGCACAGCCAGTGGCGCAATTCGTTCTCGTCCACTTCCAGGAGCCGCGCCGCCGTCGTTAGACCCAAATCGTCGGGCTGCACAAAGAAATTATACACGAGAATTAGGTGTTTATACTGTTTGTTGAATGCTCGTGAAGCATATCCCCGCATATTGCATATCCGATTGTCGCTCGCTGCGCGAGCTCGAGTTTATTGGTAATTACGATAATAGGCTCTGCCTTAAAGACCGGCAGTTGAAATGCCTAACGGCATCCTATACAGGCAGTTAAATCTGCTCGTTTATGTAATTAACAATTCGTATATCATTTTTTCCGATTTCCTTAATGAAAAAACACCCTGTATATCAAATTAAATGTCAACGTATCCCGTATCCACGGTTTGTACATAGTCTATGGGTTTGTAGAATAATTATTCTACAAACCGTGTCCCGTATCCCCTAGTAACAGAAATGACAATTTTGACAGTTCGACAGTTCTTCGCCGCTGTCATTAGTGTAAGTATTTAAAAGTTATTTTGATCATTTCTCGGTTTTCATTAAATATAAATGACCAAGAAACCTATATTTTTGCGAACAATTGCAATTTCTTTTATTCTCGTCCATTAAAAGCGACGAAATTGTCTAAATAACGAAAAAGTCTCTCATTTCGGTGTAGTTCCGTTTAAACCATATGAACAGGCAACGTCCATCAAATAATTTATCTGGAAATCTGTCAAAAATTTTACTTTTAATTTCGATTTACGGAAAAACCGAATTTAACTAGCGAAAAGAGGTCGATTTTCGTAATCAGTAAATTTTTTTACGTCCCTCTATGTATGCCCTTTCTATGCCTCTGTATGCCCCAAAAAACCTTTTCAATTTCTGTCAACAATCTTCGTAAGCGCTCTAACTCGGTTCTATCTCCATACATATACAGAATGTCCCTGAAAGTGTGGAAAATCTCTCAGATCTATAAAGAACATGAAAAAGTAAGATGAGAAGTTCCTATAAAGTTATTCTCTACAGGTCCTCCCTACGAAGATATGCATCACTGAAATGCGCCGCTGGAAATATGTTTTCCTTAAATATCCTTTAAAGTACTTGATATAATTAAACAAAAATCTAATATGATGGACGCTAGTAAGGACCTCCGGACCAGATCCGGTCTTATTTGAAGATTGTTTGGACTCCAATCGCATAAATGGCTACTTCGATTTCGTGTTTATAGTCATCAATCGTTAGCATAACATTGATCCTTAATGGCTCCCCACAAAAAAATCAAACAGGGTCAAATCACACTTCCGAGACGGTAACATCAACTTTGTTGAAGCATCTAAATGGTTTCGTAAAATTTTTTACCCTTTGAGTAGAAGACTCACCACTTTGGTAGTAAGTTTTCAATAATTCCCAACTTTGTTCAAGTGTAAAGTGTCCCATTTCGTAAATGTCAAACATAAAACTAATTTCCGTTCACAAATGAATGTGATTACCTACCTCGATGAAACATCCTTGCTGGTCCTGTTCATTTTCGACTTTAATCATGCCTTCCTTGAAGTCGATGTTGCCGATGTGGAGTATGGAGGCCAAGATCTTGAGTAAATCGTCTTGTTCTTGGTCGGAGAAGCCCAGCAGGTTTAGGGCGCTCAAGGTTTCTTCGAATTCTTTGGCATCGTCGACGCCGCTCACGTTAGGGCTCTCGCCTTGGTTCAAATAATGGAACTTGTTCTGGTGATCTGCCATCGAAAACAAATACATTCGATAACTCGACTAAATTCGATGATAATGGGTTTGAAAAGCGTTCGTTTACCTAATTGCAGGTGTTTTAATTTCTGCCTAGCCGCGCATATTTGATAAAATATGTGGTAATTCCGCTCGTTGGGCGCTTGAAATACTACTCTACTTTTTTCCAGTAAATACGTCCTCATCGAAGCGCCGCAAATGTGAAATTGCTTGTTGAAATGTAACTCTATGAATTTTCCAAATCTGGAACTGTTGTCGTTTCTGGTCGTTTTGGCGTTACCGAATGCCTAAGAAAAACAAGTTCAAACAAATTATTATACTCGTACAGTGTCGAAGAAATAAAATTAAAAATATTTAAAACAATATATGCACAGGTAAGTGCAATATTGTTTGGAATATATCCTATGGTGAGTTTCAGTTTGCAATATGGTCATTTTTATGAGTTGAACGAAGAAAGATTTTTAAAATGACAGTTGCTATAGCAAAAAGTCAATAGAGTAGAGTATGGTAGGATAGGGTAGAGTAGAGAGTTCTAATTTTTATCATTATTATAATGATAACAAATATGTGCATGGATCATGCATGTGTATCAAAATAACACCGAACAAATTTATAGAGTGATCATGTGATGAAAATTAACCCTCCAATAGTCGCGCCCGGTCTGTGAGACCGACTGCAAACGTTGTTTACCAAATATTCTAAAAATCAAGCTAGAAAAAATAGCAATAACTACTGCATTTGACTTTTTTTAGTCATTTTATTAGTCATTATTAGACTAGTAGAGACTATTCGAGGGTTAAGGTAGTTACTTGGTATAAACTTTTTTGAAAAAAAAAAACAATTTTTTTTGTTGGTATTTGTTCATGTTCATGCATGTTAATAATGTTAACTATTTAACATGAGCTTGCAGCTATGTTTATTTATTTTTTCTCTTAAATACTTAAATTTTGAAAAAACTTGTAGAGATAAAAAAGTTAGTAAATCAATTGGGCTTTTCAGTCATATTTTTAGAAAAAATATCATAGGGGTTGGCTATTTAAACCACTTCTAAGCCCACTTCAGGGAAGAAAAAATGCAGTATGTGTGTAGTTTCATTGACAAATAATATTTCCCTAATTTCGTGTCTTTGGCTTAATATACAGGGAAAACAAAGAAGGAAAATCATTTCTTTTTAATCTGCCGAGGCTGTGGTTTTCGGGGAAGGGTTTTTTTTTTTAAATTTTATATCAAGTACCTTAGGTATCATGCACCTTAATTTGCATCACAGAGTCACCCCTTAAATTTTTTTTATTTAGAGACACCCTATACAGGGTGTTAATTAATTGAGTATCGATACTTCAGGATGTGAATATTTAGATGATTTTAAGAAGAAAAGTTTATAGTAGAGTAGGGTAGAGTAGAGTAGAGTATAATGTATGTCCAAAACCTCTTAATTTTTGAGCTACAGGGTGTTACAGTTTTAGAAAAAAAAATACTTTTCTAATAAAATTTTCTTATTACTCCAGATATTTTTACGAATTTTTGTACACATTTTTTTAATATTAAGGAGCATTTTTGGAGGCAAAAGATCTTTTAAATTTTTTTATCAGTGACGTATGTACGGGGTTTGAACTGAATATGTTTGAAGAAAAAATGGTACATCACTGCTTTATCTAAAAGCCAAAATTATTTTTAAAATCCTCATTTATTTTGGAGCAAATTCGGTCTGAAAACTTACTTTCGTACCACGCACCATTTTCGCGTAATAATATAAAAACCATAACAATTCTTTACCAAGTTCATTAAGACTGCTTTTGTAATTTTGTTGAAATTTCGTGACCCACCATGCATGAAAACACATTTTTTTAACAAAAATTAATTTTCCACTATTACCAGTGACGTCCACGTTTATTCCATAAATTTATCTGGAGTAATAAGAAAATTACGATAGAGAAGTTATTTTTTTTAAACTGTAACACCCTGTAGCTCGAAAACTAAGAGGTTTAGGACATATATTGATATAAACTTTTCTTATTAAAATCATCCATATATTCACATCCTGAAGGATTAAAATTTACAATCCTTCAAATTTACATTTGACTCACTTCCATAATGGGACTGCTGGCCAAGACCTTCTTCTCGATATCCGTTTCGGTTGCATTACCGCCGACGGTCGCGAAATACCTCATCGTGTATTTGGCCGATACCGTTTTGCCGGCTCCGCTCTCGCCCGAAACGATGATGCTCTGGTCCTTTTGCTCGCGCTCCAATTTCCTGTACGCCTCTTCAGCTACCGCGAATATGTGAGGATCCAGCTCGCTGATTCCTTTGCGCCGGTACGTTTGTATTGTATCGATATCTGAATAAAATGCCAATATTTGTTATCTGTAATGGCCCATTATTCGTTGTTATCCGAGCGGAATCGAAGAGTTTATTTTAGTGCTAATTTAGTGCCCACTTTCTAATTTTAGTACTCAACTGGTTGGGATGAAAATAGCGATTAAAAATGGTGGTGCTAAAGTTTATAAAGCTACCACCCCCCTATATTTTAATCTTTCAACCAAATAACAGGAATTTAGTGCAATTATAGTGCTATCGAATGCATTAATCGGATTCTGATCAACCAGTTGAGAACTATAATTAGGAAGTGGGCACTGAAATAGCACTAAATTCTAGTGTATGGCATTTTTTTAATCGTGGGTGAGCTCGATTCACGCAGATCAAAAATTGAGTATGTATTGTTATTATAATGAAATAAATACCTTGGTAATAAAAAATGAGAAGTTATGAAATGAGAAAATAACATAATAAAAATATTACCGTAAATGGATACATCCGTGTAAGGATTAACAGCTACCAAGACGATGCCGCAGTAGGTGTAAATGTAGCTTTTCTGGCAAAACCTGAATTGGAGATTATTTAAAACGGCCGGTTCGTGTAAATAGGATAAAGAAGTCAAGTCGTTTTCGCCGAGTAAAATGAGGGGATTTTTCAAAAACGGAAGGTCCTTTTCGCTTTTTATTGTGAGAGTCCTCGTTTCGTTGGATTCCGTTATTATGCCTAGTGCTGTTTTCTTCGGGGAGTAATCCTCGACCAGTTCGGCTCCTTCCCATACTTTTTCCGGATGTGGGATCCATACTTTCGCTCCCTTAAAACACAAAGATATATCAATTCGTTATTTAATGCTTCTACTGATTATTCACAATCAGGCTGTAGGTGTATGGTTGAATTTATCGACGTTGAAAATATTTTACAGAAATTTTAGGAATTAAATTTGACCGAGGTAATTTTGCTTCGTTAAAACCTAATAATAGAGGATCCTAATACTTTACATACACTTATTAGAATAAATATTTTGCAGTAGATTTTGCAGTAGAAACCTTGCATTAGATGCCGTCTAATATGCGGTCTACCCTACCATATTTGGTTTATTATGCGGCCTACACAAATTTATTTTATACTAAGTATTTATTACAAAGTACCTATAACAGCAAGATTTTGAAAATTAAGTAAAAGAAAAAAATACGGGTATTGTATTATTTAAAGAATAGCATTTGGGTAATTCAATTTACCGAGAATTGAGGAAGTACCAGTATTTATTTAAACGTAAATATACGCCTACATATCTTCACTATTAAGGAAACGAAAAGATTTTAATAGTATTATATTATGTATGGAATAGCATGTAAGTAATTCAATTTATCGAGAATTACAGAGGTATTAGAAATATACAGGGTGAGTTTTTTTCGTAAAGGAATCTCAGAAACTGTAGGAAATAAAAAAAGTTTAAATGAACAAATATTTTCAGTTTTATGAGACACGTTCAAAACCAGTTTCAGTTTTGCAAAATATGACATCTGTCAAAATATTTAAACATACTTGAGCGACGAAATATGTTGGTAGACCGCAAATATTATGGTAGACCGCATACTAAAGACCATACATTCAAGTATTCTGTAGTACCTATTGTTGAGGAATATGTAGTTCAAATTTTAAAATTTGTCGAATAGAAACTTTCTAATAGTTTAGTTTACACGCTTGATCGTGACTCACTCATTCGCATGAACGAGATTATAATTTAGGAACATTATCCGTAACTGATAAGTATGCATTATCATTCAACTCTCCAATATGTTGTAAAGGAAGATAATACCGATGTATCACAAATATTTTTAAAATTTTATTATTTGCCACTCGGTCGAGACTTTGTTTTTAAATCCATATATTTTTACGTGCTGTTTAGCGGAAAATGATGCTAAAGATTTACTATTCTTATAATGTAGAATTTTTCTAATTATTATTCAGCAATGGTTTTGCGGAAGATTTGAATAAAAGTAACTGGTTTTTTCAACAACGATTTTGCTCCTTTAATCGATAGTTTAATGAACTCTTCGATGTTGAACCTATCGAATGATAACATTTAAGGAACTTACTAGTAGGTATACAGGTTTAATATTCAGAGGTAGGAATTAAGTAATAACATCTGATCAAATTTGATATCCTAGGGTAACCCTAGAATAATACAAATGAAATCGTAAAATATTACCTAATGTTGTTAGGTTTAAGTATTTAAAGGTTAACGAGTGGTTAGAGTCTAATGTTACTTATACGATTTTTAATTATTTCAATCATGTAATTATTTCAGGGTATTAGCAAAGAGTATATGTAAAGAAATTTAAAGGAATAAAAAGTAGTATTTTTTGGGTATGTTAGTAGATACATTAATTTAAGATTTTGATAATGACATTAATTTAGTTTGGACTTTTTAACTGATATAATTAATATTTTGATTCATTTTTTCAAATACTATGTTTTATATCAATACTTTTAACTCTGTATCGTATAACTGCATGTATGTATACGTAAATGGATTGTATTACTTTTTTTTATGAATTAATCAGATTTATGCACTATCGTATTAATGACAAAAAATGAAACTTTAAAAATTGCATTTAATATTTTATCATTAACAATCAAAGAATAACTCAGAACAATAAAAAAGCGGGGAGTTGAAGTTGAATACCATCAGCATGGTCAAATTTTTAAATTTTTAGCAAATAAATTACCCGCTCATTCCGTGCGCATTACCATACACTTGGAATTGGAACGGTTTCTATTTTATCAATGTACGTAGGCGTAGGTGCAAAAAAATGTCCATAATATTTAGAAGAGCACTGCGAAAATATAAGTATGTAATTGGTGACGAATTACATAACTCCGTCACATTTGTTTACAATTATTTCGATAAATTAATTGAAAAACAAAGTTGAAACTGAACAGGTTCATTTTGAATTGAAACGTGTCTGTTTTTAAATTCATCAAAAAATACATATCAATTTTGTTTTAAAGTAAAACCGTTTGTGAATAGACTTGGTATATCCGTGTAGTGTGTATACAAAACTTACAATATGCTACAATCTATAATTACTCAAAGGATAATAGGCCAATAACAATTACGCATATAAATAAAAAAAATCGAATAGTTACTTACTTTCGTGTATAATTCAATCGCACTCATATTTTGGCCGGTCGATATTCGCGGTCCGATCGCGTTACATTCAAACAACTAACTGGCTAGAATCCCAAATACCTGTAAAGCAGAAGCCTTATCTTATCAGCGCTGCCTTTTTTATTGAAACATATTATTAATGTTTGCGAGCGAAATTCGATGGTTGGAACCTTTACACGGCGCACCACGCTCGTGGGTGAAGCATATTGATCAAGAACAACCAGCTCCGATACAGCGACAGCGTTGCCGGAGTCGCATTCAGTAAGAGTCACCTAGTTGTTTAGGTCACGGGGTCATGGTCAAAGTTTGAACGTATTCTCTACCCGGGACAATTCGAATATTTTTGCGCACATGGCACATGCTTCATTAGGATTCATCAGGGCTCATTTTTTGAATTTATGTGAAATGTGAAAATTATCTGACCGGTTGAATGTAGTTTTGTGCAAATTAGAGGTATTTTTCAAGTAGAATGTGATGGTAGGTTACTCTTTGTAGATTTTATTCGTTAATACATTCGCAGATATCCAAAAAATAAAATAAATGTGTTATTTTTATGAGCTAACGTAAATTTTTTTTATCTACTTTTAAATTCGTGTGGATCTAGTTATTCAAATAAGATAATAGGCTGTATTTATAAAAGAAGCATAAACCTCTGCTGTTGCTTTAAAGCAAAAGGTTTTATCTTTTCTTTAAAATTATTAAAAAGGGACACTTGCTTAAAAACAAAAGTATTATACATAGGTTAATGCTATAGGTTCATAGCAACTTTTCACAATCTTTTCAGTAGTTACTCAGCCACCACACAGCTTGTAACGTAAAATTTTTGTGTATTTTGGTTGTGTTTTCCCAGTTTGTTATGGCTGATAGGGTGCATTTATGTTAAAAATATCTAGAATAATTTAGAACTGTCTAGATCATTCTAGAGTGCTCCAGAATCATTTAAAGCTGTTTAGGAACCATTTAGAACGGTCCATAATTATTTAAAACTGTCTAAAATCGTTTACCTAGAACCGTCTAGATCAATCTACATAGAAATTAAAGCTCCAGGATTTTTTTTGAACTGTCTAAAATCATTAAGAACTCTGTTAAATTATTTAGAATTGCTCAGAACCGTTAGAACTGTCTAGAATCATTTAGAATTGCTCGGAACCATCTAGAATGAATAAAACTTATTAAGCTATAATATAAAAAAAACTAGTTGAATTAGGTTTCAATAAAACTTTTGAAAAATGTACGTATGATTTCCTACAAATTTACCTGTCTTTTACCTGTAAAATTTTTCTTCATACTGTCAACATCATCTGTACCTTAAATTACTTATTCCGGGACAAAGCTGAAACGATTTCTTGAAGAAATAGTAGTCTATTTCTTCTGAAGAAACTTGAAGAAAATTAGTAGTATTTTGACTATTGAAATGTAGATGGCGAGATTGACTCAAAATGTCAAATCAATATGTCTATGTGTGTTGTTTGGTTCTGTGCAAGATTCGCACAGAACACACAGTTGTACATTCGAATAGAAAACCATTGTTACACTAATTCATGTAATCCCCTTTAACTATGCAACATCCATTACTTTAGTACGCACTTAACAACTGCAGATTGCGCTTCAGAACGTTTATGTGGTCTACGAGTTTTCCATCGATTCCCATGGATTCCCACGACGATGTCCCTTCTTGTTTATAGGCATACCTATGTTCTGTGCCCAATGATTATATAAAAACTCAAGACAAATTTAATATAATGAGAATTTCGATTAGTGAGAAACAAATTCGAAAGAAATCCCGCGATTTTTGCTAATAGATGTTTCCATTGGGTCATACGAGCGCTTCGTTATGATAACCAAAATCGCCGACTAATAAAATAAAAAATAAAAGAAACCAATTATTGTAACGCACTTGAGCGTATTTATTTTGTCACCCTATATCAAATGAGCGATAAGTACAATCTGTACAATACCAACAAAAGGGACTCATTATCGATTCGGAATGACTAATCGCACGAAACGCGTCGTAGGAGGCCGTGCAATAGCAACGTGAGCGGTATTGTTTTGTTTACCTGTACGGTGCGCGCACTCCCGTTCGAAATATAAGAGAGATAATCTCGAAATATCAACCTGAAAAGGTCGGGAACTTTATTGTTTCGATCGCTGCGCTGTTGGATCGTCGACACGCACGGAACACACGCATCTCCTGTACAAAACGCGAAATTCGAACTCCTGATAAGTCGGTAAACCATCTGCAAGGGAAGGATTATACATTTTGGTTTTCGGATTTTTCGAAAAATCGGGTTTTTTTGTTGTGATTGTGTCCGGTGCAGTGATTGTGGTTTTGGTGTTTTGTGACAATGTGATAGGTCCAAATGAGCGAGAGGGAGATGAAACTGGGAAGCACCAAAAGTGTGGCTGGTGATTTGGATAGTGAAAGGCCGTTTATCAGGGTAAATTTTTAATTTTTTATTCTATTGTGTGAATTTAATGATAGATTTTTGTACCGGCTTTTTTAAGGAATTTACAATAACGAAAAAAGATAATATTTTCACTACAACATATTTTTGGAAATTAATCTAAAGAAGAGAAAATAATCGGTCAACACAACTTCGTACATTTTCTGCTAGAAACATGGTAACTTTTTCTCAAAACTTCCAACAAAAAACTATTAAAAACAAACTAAACTCATAGATTAAGAGCGGATTTATTATTTATTTATTTATTTATCTCGAACACCTACATACACGTATTTATTCGAATAAAATTACCATCCAACAATGGGCCATACGCCACAACATAAAAAAATCGAATTCGCCAAACGATCGTAAAAATTGGATTATTTTTCTCCAAAACAATTACATTAGGAAAATTACGCAACGATATACGAGAACCGAATCATTCTAATAAATTCATAAAACAATGCACAAACGGTATACCTAGCTAATTAAGCTAATTAAAGCTGTTTGTAATCGGTCATTATTGTGGGAACAAGAGGAAATTTAAGCACGCTTCAACAATAATAACAGATATTTATTGATAATAATAATTAATATTGTTCATAGTACACCGACCGAGCAAAATGCTCCTGGTTATGTAGCTGTAAAAAGTTATGGGGATAACCCGTTGAAAATACTACACGAATTAATATAGGAATATTACAGGTAATAATGGGCTAAGTGCATGGTTAGCGATGAAGATAAGTTCTTGTTCTTGCGTGTTATCTTAAGGTGCATTAACTTTATATGAGATTTGTAAATTTACGATAAGGCATTGTATTGAAACATACATAGAAGAATATTGTTCATTATATTTATTTCTAGGTACGTATTTTTCGATTTACAAAAGTGTTTTTTTATTTATCAGATGGTCTAAGAATGTTAGAGGTCTAATTAAGAAGTATTTAAAGTAAAATCACCCTGTATTTTTTGGAAAAAAATGTTGTGTTTCCTAACAAAATAAAAGATAAATATCAAGTTCAATTATATTATCCAATATCTCCAAAACTATAACCCAATCTGTGCACAACATAGGACTTTTCTAATAAGAACAAATCGTGCCAGTAAAACCTCGAACACCCTGTATAATCTTTAGTCAGTCCGGAATATAGTTCAGACACAATCATTTCTATATTTTAAAAATCCAAGTCATTTTAACTCTTCAACTTACATTTTTAATAACGTAGGTGCATTTAACCGATGGGTTAAATTAAAAATCGATAACAGTTAACCGGAAACGCTTGTGTGTCTTCCTAACGTTATTCAATTCGAATTTGACGCAGATATTGACCCTCGACTAAGAACTTATAGTATTTCCAAAGCCGTTCCAATATTGTTTAAAAGTCTATGATTTAAATGAATACATCACAAAAATGGGCTGCAAATATTATTTTTTAAGTTAATACAGATTCCATATTTCTAATATTTTTTGGAATTGCCAATAACACAGGTTAATACAATTATATTATAATACATTTTCCTATCATCAACACGTTAATTTAATAACGAATGATTCGTTATTTCCTACGATGCAGTCATTTACGATAATCGTAGGAAATACAAAACGTGCGAAGTGATTATGTTTTTCCATTTTTTGAAATGTTTACGAATAATTTACTGTTATTAGTTTCTTTTGTTTACGATGCTGCGATTGTTAGTTTTTATTTTCTGTTTGCTCGTTTCGAATTTATAAAATTTTATGCCTCTCAGTAATTCCATCAGCAAACACGCGAGTACCACGTTTAAAGTGGCATACACAAATGCAACCTTTATTAGTGATTGATTTTTATACAGAAATTCTATTCAGTCATACCTACATACATACAGTATACCAAAAAAGTATTCGTACACTCGTATTATAATCATTATACATGTAATTTAACGTTTAATAAATATACAAATGAAAAAACAATTAACAAAACAAAATTTACATTACAATTTAAGTACAATTTAATATTGCAAAGGTTAAAGAAATTCGTAGTTTTAGTAATAAAAAATAATTATTTGTCTCCAGCATATCCAAAATAAGTATTCGTACAAAAAATAAAAATGCACATATTTGTTGAAAAAAAATTCAGTAAAAAAATAATTCCCTAGTATTTTGTTGGATACCCTTTTGCCTCTATAACTGCCTACAACCGTCGGGGCATTGATTCAACTAAATTTGCTGTTTATATCGGGCTTTATTTTATTCCATTCGTTGAGCAAGACATCTTGGAGCATTTTTTCTATTTTGAATGTCCCTTTTCCTTATGTTCCGCTCTAAATGCTCCCACAAATGTTCTATGGGGTTGAGGTGCACCCATGCAACCATTCACTTATGAGCTTGGAAGTATGCTTGGGATCGGTATCTTGCTGAAAGTAATATCCAGCTGATATCCCAACTTTTTCAGCGCTCGCATTTAAAAGGTGACTTAAAATGTCCTTGTACATGAAGCGGTCCATATTACCTTCAACAAAATGAAGACTCCCTACTCCGCTTGCTGTCATACACCCTAGACCATCACATTACCTCCACCATGCTTAACCGTCGCGCGTAAGTTACAGTGATTGATTCTTTCCCCTGGTTTTCTCCAGACAGATTTGGCTTCATTCGGTCCAAAAATGTTATACTTACTCTCATCTGACAATATAACCTGTTTCCAGAACTCTAAACGTTTATTAATGTAACGCTTAGCAAACTCCACTCTTAGCTTTTGATTTTTCTTATTTATCCAGGGCTTTTAGCAGGTCTTCTTCCTTTATATCCTAATCGCTTAATGTGGTATCAAACTGTTTCCGGATGGATCTTATGACCTGTACTGGATTCCAGTTTAGAAGCGATGTATGGAGCACATACAAAGAGATTTTTTAAACTTGTTGAGAAATGAAATTCCGATCTCGTTTAGTTAACTTGGCAGGACATCCCGATCTTGACTTATTTTCCACGGAACCAGTAGATTTATATTTTTTCACAATATACTGAACTGTATAAACTGTTTTTTAAACAATTTTACCTATCTCTCTGTATGATTTTTCTTCTATAAAATTATGGATGAAGACTTTTTTAAGTCACCATCTACTTCTGCAGTTTTTCTAGGCATTTTAAGGTAAACTTGAATTATTTTGAAAACAGAGGTAGGAGCTCAACTTAATACTTATATACCGGCCAAAACAATAAACAATTTAATATCTACAGAGTGAAGAAATTGATAAAACGTTGCTGTACGAATACTTATTTTGGCGATAAAGCAAACATTTTTCGTTTTTTTTTTATTTTACATTTCTAATTACAATATTAATTAATGATTGCAAAAGTAGTCTTGGAATGTAGATTTTAATTTGTTAGTTACTTCTTGTTTCTGTTTACTGAACGCGGACTTCCAGAACATAATGCAACTGTACGAATACTTTTTTGGTCTACTGTACATACCTATGTACGTATGTACATTCAATCATTATTCATTTAACTATAATTATTCGTATCAAATGTTGAAATTTTTGAAACGTTACGAATTAATCCGATTTAAACTATTTTATTCATAGTAAATGCCATTCAGGTCATTCATTCATGAAGTCAATATTTGCATATTTTTAATATTTTTTCACTATTTTTTACTAGTTATATTTTTTTATTTACTATATTTTTACTATTATTTGACATTTTATAGCAATTGTCTAATTTATCTCCATTATTAACCAATTAATTGAAATCTTCTTAATTTTCAATCGCGGGCTGGGTCAAGAGAAAAAAACCTCAATTATCTACAAGTCCGATTGCAAAAGTTGCTTGTAAGTTATTCATAGCCAACATGAAGCCGGTCCAACGCAAAAAAATATCGATAGATTTCTCTTTGGGCTGCGGCTCATTTTTTGGGTCAGATTCTTTCGATCTTTCAAATTCTCGCGACTGTCTTAGCGGGTTTCATTGAAGCGAAACAATTTTAATAACAAATTACATATTGATAACAACATTCGTGTATATCAGTTCATATTAAATTTTCATTTCAATATTGTTTAAGTTTCAATGCCCTACAGTCAATAAAAAATAGTATTTTTAATTACAAACTTCCCTTATAGAAATGTAGGTAATAAACAGTAACGTATTATTATAGAAAATATAATCATACTGAACCATCAGCTTGCATATTTTTTTAATATTATAAAAAATTATATTTGCAATTTGTGTAATTTCGTGATGTCACATGTGCAAGATGGAAGAGCTAACTCATCACGCAAACATTCGAATATTAATCGAGGTCGATAGCAATTTTCTGGAATCGTTTACTCGTTTGGTATTTCGTTGTTTTGTAAGTGCATAACTGCATATTATTTATTTATTTATTTATTTATTTATTCATCTATTGGCCAATCTTTTGCGATTTTTTTACGGTGAAAAACATTTTCCAATTAATACGCTTCTCTGCAACTCCACAAGAGTGACAGTTATTTTTTTATGGGAACCTTTTAACTTTAACCATATTTTATAACTGTACTAAAAAACCGATGAATAGAGAACCTTTTGTTCATGTTAACACATCATATTTTCCTTACTGATCAGTTTCTAATCTAGCATCGCGTTCTTTTGTTCTAATAACAATAGTTTTTTTTAAAGCACGAGCTAAACCTACTAGAATTGTCTTAATACACATTTCCGTTAGCATTATCAGTCGAATTGCTATTCAGAAGGTAATATTACAAGCTGGCGCATCAATAGAAAAATCTTGTTGAATTACAATTGTTGTTTTCGAATTCTGGATTTTTGTTTTTAATTTTGGATTGTTAACCAAACCAACCGAAAAAATCGTGTTTGCTTCAATCGTAAAATACCAGTAGAAAAAAACTGTTGAAATGCCGCTCGTAAACAAGCTCAGTAAAAAATTTCCGGTTTAAATTAGTTTCCTGTTTTGATGTCGTTATTTAGATAAATATTAGCTACATTACGGGTAGGTGCATCATGTAAATTGCAGTCATTA